GTTCAACACTGTCACATTTTCTCTAGAACTCTTATTTTTTGCCACGTTGTATTTTCCTCGCAATCATCTTTTTTTCAAATGGGAAATTCTCATTTTATCAGAAATTATTCCACATTTTATAGAAACTTTCCAAAAAATATATTCATTTCATCTATCCAGGATATTAAAAATATTTTCAAATATAAATAATCCAATAAATTTATACAATTATTTTGTAAACCTTGTATGTTACTTCAACAATATGTGCTCTATCTCTCTTTCTCTTTGTCAACATCGCCAACAAAACTTTGTTCTTCATCCGAGATATTTCAGTTTGATAGAATTAAATTAGACACAAACGAGCTGAATACAATTTAATTTTCAAACGAAGCCAATAGCTTGCTCATCGCATATCAAAGCATAAGAAGAAATAAAAAAAAAGAACGAAAACACAATATATTTTTGAAACTACACTTTTGTGTCATTTATTTTGCATAAGATTTGACATAATACGAAATAAAATTATCATTAAATAATCAACTATAAAATACATAGAAGTGAGTGTTAATTAATTTTGACTAAAATGAAACTATTACAATTAGAATAAGTTGAGACGAAAGCGCGCAATGCAATATGAATAAAACGAATTGTCGTTTGTCTATAGAAATGAATTGTTAAATTTGATTGAACAAGAAATGAAAGAAAGAATGTGTGCAAGTGTATTGTAAGCTAGGGGACAGACAAATGTTTCGGGATCTTGATTTGAGTCCAGCTTCACGTAAATTCAACGAAGATTGGAAATGATCAGAATTTGAATTTGGAATTTATGACGATCGAAACTGAATCAAAAAGATTTGAATACTGAATTGTAGCTTCTTGCCGTCGATTATAAAAGCGTTGGGTTATAGCAAACTTCAAAATTGATTGAAACTGTCACATTAATTAATGAAAGCGGTACATATTATGAGCAATACTTTTTCAGATGCTAAATTCTTCACACACATTCGCATTTTAAATTCGGTTTTTATCATATGCTAAAAATGCGAACGGATCATTTGCTACTCATGTACGCTCACGAGTGTAACTAAAAACTATTTATGTATAGCTTTGTCATCAAACAAAAAACTACGTTAGTGGCGATAGAGGATTTAAAATTTCCAAAAAGGTCAATATTGTTTATCACAGTCTTTTTACAGAGGAAGAAAAAAAACAAGGAATCTTGTGTGTTAACGACAACAAACGGCTATTCCTATATTTGATTTGGGCTGCCATTTTAAGTTGAGATGAATAACTTCCCATTGAGCATCACTACAAATTTCAATTTATATTGAAGAGAGAACATTCACAAAATAATTAAATACATATGTGTGAGTGATGCCGTCACTTGTATTGTGAAAAGCTAACTGAAAAACGTACATACTTTTTATTTATCGTCTCATTGAGAATACTTAGTTGGTTAGTGGAAATGATTATTGTCGGATTGCATGTCGACAGAATGTAGTTAGTTACGTAAATGAGCAACTGTGAATATTTGCAATCATGTGATTTCCCGCTTGTATAATTCATTCAATTCGTTAATGCAGATATCACATACATTTGTTGCTTATAAACTACATTTAAAATGACACATATATTATACTCGTTGATGGATTAATTTTATTCGACGAAATTTAGTCTGATAATTTCATACAATGAAGACCTGTTTGCCAAGCGGACAAGAGTGAAAAAAATGTCACAGCGGTTACGGTATATTCTCATTTGTATGTGCATCATGTATATGGGAAGAATTCTGTATATTGACACTATGTCTCATAGAAATCGACATATTCGACACTTTAACTAATATTGATGCTCCTCAAATCTTTTATAAAACAATATTGTTTATAGATTTATTCAATAATAAAAAATCGAAATTGGAAAATATTTTCGCTTTGAAAACAACAACAATCTTGTTATATTAATAGAAAGTTTCTCATACACTTCTCAAATCGAATACATTTCTTATGTCCTATTGCTGGCATTTTATTGAGTCGTTTCGATTTTCTATGAAATAAAAAAAATGTACAAATATAGATATAAAAATGCACGTACATACAAATGGTCACAGAAGTCTTGAGTATTTATAACTAATATAATCTTTGTCTTATATGATCCTTTTTTTCTAACAGTAAATAAAATAATAATAAATATAAAAATAATATTTTATGACGATACGGAGAGCTTTTGACGATATTCAATCTAATGTAGCTATAGGTCTGATGCATAATTTTCGAGAAGAAATGTAAGAAATGCGCTTTTGAGACTTCAAACTCAAATTGAAAAGATTTTTTTTTTCGTACTGTATTTGTATTCGTTTTGTATAGTGTTTGTTGCTTCGAAGGATATTTAAAATTAAAGTTTATAAATAATTCAAATGCGAATTGAAATAAAATGAAACCAAAGTTCATCGATTGATTTTGGGAACGTACAGTTACAATACGATTAAATGATGATATTTCACATACCTTGCACGCCTTAACTGCTTAATTATGTGTAAATGAAATTTTTGAAATGAAAATGCACAAGAAACAAATACACACAACGTCAAAAAAATTTGCCGAAACAATTACAAACGCATACAGACACACCCCTTAAATCGAATAAAAAGAGAAAGTGGTGCGGCAAGAAAACATTTTATTTCATTGTATCTACGGTACGAATACAAAACACGATTTGAATACATATATCCAAGGAGTGAAAACTAAACAAACATCGACTAACTGTAGATGGTTGGTTTGATATTGCTCTGCAGATAGATTTGTTGACGGAGAGTGGTGTCTAGTGTGCAATTGAACTTGAACGAAATATCAATAGTGTAAATGTGTGTGTGTTTGTTTGCATGAATGTCTGTGTGATTGTGTTTATGTATGTATGCGATGCGTGTGTGCCTTCGTTTTTTTTGGAACCGTACCGATTTTTCTGTGTGTGTTGTTCTTTTTTCGTTCCCTTATTTGTCTCGCGCGCACTGTTTCATTCAAACACACACAGTACCAAACAGACAAAAATCATCAACCCGAGTCCAGTGTAAATTTGTGTACTGCTGGATGCGTGCGAACGTTTCAATTGTATGTGCTCGTCCTGTCTTTTCTATTTCATCACCAAATTTATATTTAAACGTCGTTTATTTCAAAGCATAGTGCAAATACAATCTTTTCTACTTCATTTTTATATAAATTAAAAACGTTACGAAAATTAAAAAAAAATTACGAATAAAAATAAAGTTTCACAAAATTGCATTTGATACGCGTTAAGTTTGTTTTTCTATTTTTTAAAACGACCAAATTTAACGCCAAAAAGTAAAGAAATAACTTTAAATAAATAGCAAAAACGGTGACAGCAATAAGTATAGTTTAGCAAGTTTCGTGGTATTAGACCAAAAATCGAATAAAAAACTAATAAAAATGGGTGGTTGTGCGTCAAAAGATAAAAAGGATAAAACAGTTGAAGAAGATGGTACAGCTGGCGGTATCGAAGGGTGTGTATCAAACTCGATGGTATTCTTAGCGAGGTAACTGTGCAGTAGCGGCTTTACGATTGTCGTTCTTGTCAGCCGATTGCGTGTGTAATTTTTATTTAAAGAATTTATTTGCTTGAATCATTTTTTTTTTATCTTTTTTTTTAAATCCCCGTCTTGATTTGTGATTTAAAAAGACAACAAAATTTACATATTGTTTCGAAAATTCACTTTGGCGCCAAAGCGTCTCAAATCTGAAATTAAAAAAATATTGAAATACTGAAACGTGTTGATGTCATTCTCATGAATTGTGGTGAAACGGTTGTGTTTTTGAGAAAATGTGGCGCCTAGTTTTTGGTGGCAAAATTGCAGGACGACATGAAACTATTTTTTTGGTATACACAATTCATCGAGCGAGGTAGATGGATGTTACTATGTCGAAAATCATTTAAACGTATCAGTGGTGCATGTATGTGTGATATTTATTGTAGAAGTGGTTGCTGCCATATAAACAATGTGTGTATGTATTTGTTTGTATGACTGTATGTGTATACGAAGGCTTTGATTGCACACAGTATGGCCAAAATAGAATTCAGAAGAGGCAAATGTGGAAAATGAAATACAAATGAACCACCGAATTTTTGCAAGCAGATTTTTAGGCGGTCGCTTGTTTTTGAATAAAGCAATGCTTTGGAAAATTTCAAATTAGATGAATAATCCACTATTCACGAAGAACATTGATTTTCGATATGTTTTAATGATATTTTTATACTCCCGTTTGATTCGATTACACAATATTTTTCAAGGATGAACTACATATATGTAGCTCATTATTATATGGGTTTTATAACACAATGAATTTATCATCAATATATAATGCACTTGGATGCGACGAAAAAAGGCCCACCAAATTTACCGGGGCATACATTTGTTTTCAAATAAAATGGAAACAAAACTGACGTAAAAATAAAATTGATTGATGAAACAATTTGAATTGAAAGAGAAATGAATTTTTGTTTTTTTATTTCTTCTATTGATTATCTAACTGATGATTTTGGCTGTTTGTCTATTTTGGTGGTAATAAAATCTATTTTGGTGGTAATATTTTCCTCCGGTGATTTTACAGAGAAAAGAATACAGTTTGATTGCAAATTATCACCAAAATATTTAAGAACACTTTTCTGTTTTGACCGACAATCTACAAACAAGTTTTTGGGAATTTCTCTATTTCCCTACACAAAACAAGTTAGATGTTTACAAAAATTGGTATTATTGCACTGATTTTAATGTTCAAATCAATTATTTTAGTATTATTATTATTTTATTGTTTGCAATATTTGAAATTGGTAATTTAAATAATGTTGTTAAAAGTGGTAGATGATATACAGCTTGAGATGTGTTGTGATGCTATAACCTTGTTATCATATGTTGAAGATGAATGATATTTGGGATATTTTCCGTCTTTCTTTAAATTTTATCATTGAAAAAAAAAATATTAATCAAATAAATTTCTCTGCGTTAATTACAGCAATAAATCCGAAGCCATGGTTGATGCTGCTGTTTTGGAAAAATTGGAAGCTGGTTTCACCAAGCTCGCAAGCTCTGATTCAAAATCATTGTTGAAGAAGCACTTGACGCGCGAAGTCTTTGACAAGCTCAAGAACAAGAAGACTTCCTTCGGATCAACTTTGTTGGACTGCATTCAATCCGGTATTGAAAACTTGGACTCTGGATTTGGTATCTATGCTCCAGATGCTGAAGCCTACACTGTCTTTGCCGACATTTTCGATCCAATGATCGAAGACTACCATGGTGGTTTTGGCAAAGATGCCAAGCATCCACCACGTGATTTCGGCGATGTCAGCTCCTTCGTCAACGTTGACCCAACTGGTGAATATGTTGTATCAACTCGTGTACGTTGCGGTCGTTCAATGGAAGGTTATCCATTCAACCCATGCTTGACCGAAGCCCAATACAAAGAAATGGAAGAGAAGGTCAGCTCAACATTGAGCGCTTTGGATGGTGAATTGAAAGGCAAATTTTATCCATTGACTGGCATGGATAAGGCCGTTCAACAACAATTGATCGATGACCATTTCTTGTTCAAGGAGGGTGATCGCTTCTTGCAAGCTGCAAATGCATGGTAAGTTTAAATCAACTATTTAATCAATTATCACATCATATTCACATTTGTTTTTCGTTTCATAAATGATTGTAGCCGTTTCTGGCCAACTGGTCGTGGTATTTATCACAATGATAACAAAACCTTTTTGGTTTGGTGCAATGAAGAAGATCATTTGCGAATCATTTCCATGCAAAAAGGTGGTGACTTGGGCGAAGTTTATCGTCGTTTGGTAACTGCTGTTAACGAAATTGAAAAACGTGTCCCATTCTCACACAACGATCGTCTTGGTTTCCTTACTTTCTGTCCAACCAATTTGGGAACAACCATCCGTGCTTCAGTGCACATTAAAGTGCCAAAATTGGCTAAGGTAAGCCAGTTCTAATAATATTTAAATGGTTTGCAATTTTCTTTTTTTAATGAAAATCATCACACATTTTTCATAGGACTACGCCAAGTTGGAAGAAGTTGCCGGAAAATACAACTTGCAAGTTCGTGGTACATCTGGTGAACACTCTGAATCAATTGGAGGAATCTACGATATCTCCAACAAACGCCGTTTGGGATTGACTGAATACCAAGCAGTCAAGGAGATGTCAGACGGTATCACCGAGCTCATCAAAATTGAAAAGAGCTTGTAAATGGCTTAGGATCTACAATGCAAGCATCCAAGATTAAAATTGTTTCATTTTCAACAACAAAATAATCAATGATCGGCAATAAATTTATTGGAACTAATAAATGTTCAACAAAAAAAAACACAAAACTGCTTTTTGAACATCATATTAATTTATGCTGAAATCTATCTAAATCATGATAAAACCAAAAAAAAACTTACTTGTAAAACTAAAATCAAAATTTTGATGTAAAATGTAATACAAATTCAATGAAACATGAACAGCATTATCAGAAAAAAGAAAAATTAATTAATAAAATCCCAAAAAAATAAAATTTATTTAAATCTATCCGTTTAATATCATTATATTTGTTTACAGAACGTTTGCAATGAAGATCAATATAATGAAATTATTAAGATTTCTGATTGTGACACATTTATCTTACGATTTTTGATTCCCCCCATCAGCTTGCTTCTGGTCTTCTCAACGTCTTTGGTTTTGTTGACTGAGCCAAATGTCATCTATTAAACCTTTTGCTTTCCCGAATCCCGTGAATCTGCGGGCCTATCTTTTATTGTGTAAAATTCTTTTTTCCTTTTTATGGCTACGCTTTGGAAGGCTTTACCTAGGGATGATCAGAAGAAAAGAATTGATAAAATGGAAAGGCTTGATGATTTCTTTTAAAAATTTTACGCCTTCTCGAGGATGTATTGATGTAATTATAACACAAAAACATTTCAATTTACTTTAAAATGTGTTCACATTTGGAAATTTTCAAATTATTTTCGAACATTATTCGTAATTGAAAATGGTTGGTATTTTTTTCAATATTGAAAAAAATAAATAAATAAATCAAAACCTTGCCAATCGTTGAAAAAACTCAAATAAAAAAAATCGTATCAACATTTCTTTAGAAATCTATAGAAAATTAATCATTTCACGGCAAAATCATAACAAATGTTATTACTTTACTATATAAGGTTTTTTTTTTTTTAATGTAGTCTTGTCATAGAAACTATACGCAGTGAAGTAAATGGAGGACGATAGGGAACATATTTGTGATTCGAAATCTGATTGGATATGCTCTACGCAAGTGTGTTGTTCGTATTTGAAATGTGTGTATTGTGAGCACCAGAGAGAAACCATAATGTATATGTGTATGTGTATGTACGAATATGTGTGTGTATTTGTGTGAGTTTTTCGTTTATATGGTATTTTCTCATAAATTACGAAATTCTATAATAGTGTTAAACGCTCACACCTACACAATACAAAAGATGAAATCGACACACAGAGGAAAAAAATCACTTTTTATGCACGTATTGAGTTGAGTCTCTTTCGAAGTCAGTTCATTTTCACTGCTTCGATCTGAACAAATTTGACAGGTTGAAGGAAATAGTCAAATCGAATAGCTTATTTTTTTGGCACAACAATCGACGTTTTTCTTTAATTTATATTTTTTTTTTATTTTTCAAAATAAAAATAAGCCAAGGCAAATAAAAATCAATCAAATACACGGTGACAGCTATTCATAGCATTTTTGTGGTGACAACCGAAAACAAAAAAAAAAATCATGCAATTCTAGAAAATATCAAAATAAAAGTATTATCAGTTTTTTTCGTTCTGATGTTACTTTTTGTTCTTTTATGACACTGTATTCCGATGCAATTTATTCGTTCCATTTTGTGTTGTGTAATTGTGTAGTTGGTGTTCTCATATGTAACTTTCTTTCTAGTGTATGCCTGTATGCTCCCAAATTGTATTGTTATTCAAACTAAATAAATAGGTACACAAATTTTAAATTGTTATTGCCAAAGTGAATCAAACAAAATAAAAGAATATAAAACCAATGGACTATTAGTGTGACGAAAACAAACCTATTTTCAAGTGAGAAGACCATTGAAAAAGAAAACTACAGTACTCAAGTTTTGTGTTTTATTTGAATAGTTACGAGGAAAATTGATAGAGATTTCAATGTAAATGAACTTCTGTGATAAAATAGAAATATAAGAAGAAAAAAGTAAATGTATGTGGCAATTATTTGAAATCATAACACAAGGTGCAAAATAAAATTCTAATACGGTCAAACCAAACTTGGAATTATATTTACACGGAACGATAAAGAAAACTAATAGACACATTTTTTGCCGAAAACGGTATCAATATTGTCAATCGAAACTGAATGATTGTACCTTTTCACGCCACTTGTTTATGTATGAACGTTTGTAGCTCTCAATTCTATGAAATAAAATATAGAGCAACAGCAAAATCCATACTATCTGTCATTATAAGATTGATTCGTATACACCGACCATCATCAGTGAACGAGCCTAAAGATCATAAAGTTGATTGGGAAAGCAGTGTCATTTTTGCGGTGTTCTTTGTTCGTTATTTTGGGGGCCATTCAAGTAGAAAAGGTTGGTTATTTTTTTAAAAATTGTTTTCCCTATTTCTATTTCATATTAAAATTATAAATTATTCCTCGAAGATTGAGTACGAGGCAATTTTACATAAATTTCTTATCTTAACGATTGATTCATTGTATCGGATTGAATGCATAGCAAAAGGGAACCATTGTAATGATTCATTGCATTTAACCATTACTATAAATTTGCCGTATGTTAACAGAAAAAAAGCATGTAACGTACAGAGTACATTGAAATCGATTAATCGATATGAGTACAACTATGCAAGGGCAACCGGTGTGCAAGCAGCATAGAGTACTCGCTGATGATGAATGCACTTTTGTGGAAGCATCAATGTTAATTCATTAATTTCCATGCGCACACTTAAATCTCATGGTACAACATTTTACTTTAATTTTATAATCTCACGAATTCGCATTATTTTCAAAAATTGTGGTCATTAGTTTTTGAAAATCAAACGAATTCATTCGACTTATAGTAGCGAAATGGACTAAAGTTGATTACTTTTCATACACATGCTCAAATCCACTCAGCCAGCTAATTTCTTACGTAGGTTGTGTTCAACAATTATCTTGTTTTGTTCGATGACAATCACATTTAGACAGTCAACAACGACTAAAATTAACAAGATGACTAAGTAGTGAAGACGTTTTTTTCAATACCAGTTATTTTACTCGCATAGAATTTATTATTGTTTGTAAATGATTGGCTTCGGTTGTGAATGTGCTGTGCAAATGATCAATTTGTTATGCAAAACCATTCATATTTGTTTCTTTTTTTTTAAATCAAGATTGATACTAAAAAACATATAGATTATAGATACTGTGATGAATCTTTCTTTTTCTCTAAACTCTTTTTTAACTCTTCGAAAATCGCTTCAAAATAACTTGTAGACCATTTGAAAAATCTGTCGACTAAATGATGTCGTACTATGTATAAATCTATATTTCTGCACGTCCAGTTTAATACGCGCCAGAATACCAAATATAAGTGCGTATGTAACAAATTGAGTCAATGTGCGCACACGCACTTAAAAAAGCATGTACAAGTAGTTCAAGCTGAAGATTTTATAGATTATAATACTAATATTATACATATTTCGAATTATTTGTTTGGTCAAAATGGTTTTTTTTTGTACTCATTATACTTCGGTATTTCGTTAGCTCTGATTTCAATATTTTCCAAAAGTAAACGAATATTATCAACACAATTTTAACAATGGTCGAACAATGCGACGAATCCTATTATCACAATAAAACATCCGACGAATATATGAGAATGAAGGTATTTTTTTTAGTATGACATTAAGTATTTATTTCACGTCATCTTTTTGGGTTAATTATGTCGCAGTCGTTTTTAAATGAATGACACATACGTGTCTCATGAGATTCATTGATGTTTTGTTAGCGTCCGAGTGCGAATTTTTGAAATCGCACACGAAATTCAATTATTAGAAAAAAGTAAATAAAAAATTAATAATAATGACTAGCAATTTTCAAATGATTAGGTAAGAATAAAAACCCGACATAAAAAAACACCTATAAAAATGGAATACAGTGACTTTTTTTTGATGCGATTGTACATTTACAAAAAAGCGCTATGTTCCACGTTTATAGATTTCGATGTCAAGTCGCGTTTTTACTTTGGCTCATTCAAATGCTAGATGAATCATCAATGATGACGTACCATAACAAAGTCATTTTGCTCACTTATAAACCCACGAATTTAATTTCATAATAAAGTTTTGAACTGCGTAAAAAATTATATTTACAAAATTGCATACAATATATGCGTATTGTCGTGCAGTAGTATATTCATCAAATGAATGCAAACAAAACAAAAAATGTGCACTTTTGCCAATCACTCAAGTGATAAAGTCATATCTTATTGGTAAAATCTCATTTTTTACTTCATCGTCGATCGCTTAAGCTATTGATCGATTACTGATAATTACGAACGTACAGATAAGATAGAAAACTAATATAATTGATTATTTGTTATTCTTTAAGGCTGTTATTGGAAGATAAGTTAAAAATACGCTTTGATCTCACGTAGTCATGGCGCAAAGTCAAATAACACAATAGAAATTAAATGTTAGATCAGTCTAGTTTCTTATTCGATACCCTGTCCGAGTGAGTTTCATTTATTTTTAGTGAATTGTCTGTGAATTAGAGTATCAAAAATGAGGAAAAGCATAGATTCAATGTGTTACTCATCGAAAAGTACTGAAACTTTTTAACGAAGCCACATATGGATTGAAACTGACGGTGAAGCATTACAAAAACAAAAAAAAAACCAATCGAGATCCGTCAATATGAAAATCAATTTCTCTTGTGTAACAAAAACATTCGTTTGCATACAATCGTTTCATTTATGTACGCCATTGTATGCTCTTTTTCGTTCGTTTCATAATCAAATGTACGATATACATTTGGTGCATTCTTTCATTTTCATATTTGTCGTATCAATGGGAAATTGTGACAAGTGTCATTATATCAAGTTCCTAATGACTTTGTGCGTGCAAATGCAGTCGTATGTGAAAATTCATTAGTATTTATATGTAAATATATCGTATTTCTACGTGCTTATTTAAAGTAACACATTTCTTTCTTGTATTAAAATGGCGGTTAATTGAAATTCGAAATCATGCTGTCGACTATCCGTAATATAAATAAATGCTCTAGAATAAAAACAACATATTATACAGTTGTACATCAAAACGAAACAAGACGTTTTTTACATAAATAACTAAGCATTCGGCCAGGCCGTACACGCACAAAAAAAATGAGTGGTAGAACCTCGACAACTATAAATGGACATATAGCGCAGTATAAGTGAATTCTACCACAGATATCTTATAAAACATCAAGTTACAAATGATTTCTATGAGAGAACTGTAACCTTTTACGACGGCGCACGAATATTTATAAGCGACTTTTATTTTATTGCACTAATTGAAAAATGCGATTTTCATGCAAAATTCTTTGTTTTCAAATAGAAAATGTCTATGTAAATTGTGAATTGGAATTTTTCTTGTAAAATGTATAGTTGTATTATATTTTTTATGCCATTTCAGAGAAATGAGACTTGTTACAAATACATTAAGCGAATGTTATGAGCCATTTATCATTCCACCGATTTCGATTCAGTCGTTATCACGTTGGGACAAACATAATGATTTCCACGTTAAACCAACTGATTATTCGGCATTAGAAGGACCAAGACATCGTGCTAGCCCATTTCCACGATCGGATCAAATCAATAGTCGATTCATTATCTGGTAAGAGTGAGAGGGATGAAGAAAGAAAAATGAGGATGAGTTGTCTTTCTATCCGCACACATAAAACTGCGCATTGTTGTGTTTCATTATTTTTTTTCTTTCAATTTTATCTTTGCCTACAAAAAAAAATAATAATATCACTTATGCTTTTTGCATATACTTTATTATGATTTGGACGTTTTTGTTGTCGTATCATGTAGTATTGTATTAATTGTGGTGCCATTTATGTTTTCGAGGCAGATATATTTTCGGTTGCTACCGTATATGTGTTTACTTTATGCTTCACTCTTAAATCGTGTGATTTTGATTTTTATTCTTTAATCTCGACAAACAATTCGTTTTGCCCTCATTTGGACCAAATAAATGAAAAATGTTAAAAGTCAATTAGACGTCGTAGTGATTGATGATGTTTTATACGTTCAGCTCGTATTTGTGAGGTATTGTTAGGGTAATTTACAAACCTCAGCCAGCTAAAATGTTCAATTTTCTTTTACTTTGATATATGTGGTCATAGTTTCTGATGGTCGCGTTCCAGGGGTAATTTCTATTTTTTTGTCACTATTCTATCCGAATCCCGGGCTTTTACCGTTTTTTTTGCTCTTCACTTTTTTGGCGAAAATCCCTAGCAAGTGCTTTTTCTCAATTTGTAAAGGGGTACTTTCAAAATCCATTCTCCATGGGAAGGGGGGTGTAATCAGACCCCTCGGACCCCTGGTCAGAAGCTATTGTGATACAATTTTAATTTCTTTGCTAAGATTTTTGAAGAAAATATTCCATAGAACTTCATAGTGTGATAGGCATGCTAGATAATTAATACATTTGAATATTACTTGGGTGGCAAAACATTTCAAATTTTTCAGCATTTTTTCGAAATGTAAATCAGTTTGGAATTAAAAGTATTTGTAAATTTTATCGTAAGGGCCAGTTAACAGTTGACATTTTTTTTTTCAGTAAACAGACAGTAAATGAAAAAAAATTGTCAGGTGTGAATTGGCCATCGGTTCTCGAATTGTATTATACACTTATACACTAAAGGTTGACCAATCTAAGAACGGAATCTCAAAAGAAACTTTTAAGAAGCAAGCTGAGGACATTTTTGCTCCTCACTTTTCCAGAGTATGCAATTTTACAGTAGAAAGAAAAGCATTTGAAAAATTCGTTTTGAATTGCTAGGGTTTTTTGACGAAAAATCCTCCTCATGCTTTTCAGTTTGATCCGAGTGGAATAAAAGACTTGTTGTCAATTTTTTTGGAAATTTGCGCTAGATAAAATCGATTTTTGTCGCAATCCTCAAAATGTATATTTACCAAATTAAGGTCTAAGTGAGATTCTATCTAGAGAGGAGTATTCCATGTTTTGCTCCTCTTTTACACACGCATTAGGTATTTCCACTGGTGTGAAGAACGAAGAAAAGGGTCAGTAACAACTGCGACCAGTATCCGAAATGTAGCTCGATATTTTTTGACTACCCTTTAAAAAACTTTATCTAAGAATGAAACAACAATTATTTTATATTAACCATATATACGTTAATACTGGCCTTGTTGTTAGTCGCGAATTAAATAAACCGTTTTGAATTATCGAAACTCAAGTTGTAGTTTGTCTTGAGTTCACTTTGTATACGATATGAAACACATTGATGTTTAATGGACGTTCGAAACTAATGGATTTGCCCTTAGGAAAATATCAAAGCGATTAACCAGTGACCGGTTCGCGCATATTTTTATGCTTGCCCAAATACGCTAGGTAGCATAGATATGCCAAGCATAGCCGCAAACGCAACCGACGCATCGCCGTTCACTCTATATGAACAATACACATATTCGTTTATGCAGACGACCGTGCGCATACAATATAGCTCGAATCGAATGGTGACGGGTGCGTTGCGGCTTGCGTCTCCGCTATGCTTAGCATAGCTATCAGGCATAGAAATATGCGCGAACCGGTCACTGCGATTAACTAGCTACTAACGCAAGGGAGTATGAAACAACTACTATCACCAACAACACCACTTGATAATTCAATATTGTTATTGATGAACAGTCATCGTCAGGGTCTTTGCAATTTTAAACCAAAAACGCCGTTCAAAAAATTTGGATATGACTAACCGTATATTTAGCGAGAAATAAATCACAACAAACCATTTGCATATCCTGCAACTGTATCAATATGTAACAACTATCATTCAAAATGTCGGCTAAGTAGATGGCTTATGACCACCGTTGTCAACTGTTTTTCATGCAAAATTTATATTTTCTTGGATTTTTTTTTTGTATTTTTATGTTTGACTGCACATTTTTAGTTATAGTATGTGTGGCCTTAATAAGCTGTATATATTTTGTATGCCTTAAAGATTCATATTCCACCTCATTTAAACTTTCGCTTAAGAATTTCACCTTTAGACGATTGCATGCAGGTTCAGCAAAGAAGCCGAAATGGCTATTTCATTTTTCGTTAAATAAATCAGTAAATTATTAATTTCAATTGGTTCAATTCAAGATTTTCAATCTAAAAAGTTCCAAGTTTGGAGCATTTTTAAAATGTTCTACTGTCCATTAAACATTTAGAAAAATTCCGAACTCGAAATTAACACCATTTCGATCAATTTAAATTCAACTAAACAGAAACATGCAATTGAAACCAATTTTAATTATCGTAAAATATTCAAAAATAAATGATTTGAATGCAAATAATTATGAGTATTGGCATAATATCAATAGATTTTAAATAGCTTAATCTATTTGCTTGATGCAATTATAGTCGCGTGTTGGCATTTGGATGTTATTTTCAATTTGAATGGTTATTGTTACTGAAAAAAACACTATTAATGAATTAAAATATATAATGTCAGCAAATTCAGTGACAATTTCATCATGCAATGTTTTAATTTCCAAAATATTTTTTTTTTTTTTTTTGAAACAATAAAATGTAATAGATATGTTAAAATTAATTTGTAAATTATATGTATTCAGACCTGAAGGGCGTAGCAAATAAATAAAATGCAAGTTTCTAATCGCATTCAATATCTAATGGTTCTTAATTTTGAAATGGATATGTGGAGACAAACAATTGTAAATGTGAACAAAAAAAAAATTGTAAATTTTTGAATCGAACTGGTTCGATATTTTTGAGAATAAGTAATTTCATTGAATGAACTTTCACTTTATAAGTTACTGTATTTTTCAATTTTAATAAAACGTAAATCTTTTGATTATAGGGAAGGAGATATATCGTTGATCGAATCGGATGTTATTACTAACACCACTGATGAAACTTTAACGGAAAAAAATTCCATATCGAGTCGAATATTTCAACGCGCTGGACCTTCTCTATATGAAGAGATTCTAAATGATAACCGAGGTAAGTGAAAATGTATAGACATAGTTAATATTTATGTATAGTGAATATTTTATAAATAATACTTTGCATTCTTCTCTTTTTTTCTTCTGCACGTCAATACAGAGTGTAAAACTGGTGAAGTTCGTGTAACCAAAGGCAATTAATAATTAATAATAAAATAATAATGAATAAACAGTAATAATATAATAATTATTATTTTTATTAGGCTATAATCTGTCAGCAAAATATATTATACATACAGTTGGTCCTATTTACACTGAACGCTATAAAACAGCTGCCGAACAAACACTTTATTCGTGCTACAGGTGAGATAGATTATGTTTGAAAATGCTCTCTGTCCAAACATTTATTTGGAAAGTGAAACCCTTGAAAGGGCTGAAAGGGTTGCTTTCTTGATCCTAGACTCAGCTATCACCTCTGCAGAAAAGAGGTTACTTTATACGAAACGGGCTCCGTGAACATTTTTCTTTGGAAGATATATATCAGTTGTGAATAGGTGATTTTTGCCAAAATTCAAATGTTCAGAGTACTTTGGCCAATTATTGGTCATGTTCCTTTTTCCTAATTTTTGAAGGTCCCCATTAAACTTTCCATCCTTTCCCTTTGATGATTCTGACCTTCGCGAGTACAACTTCTTTTCTTCAAATTCAGAAAAAAATGTAATACAAAGAATCACACAAATACAGGCTAGCAAAAAGATCATTTTTTTTATTTCTATTTTTAATAAACTCACGTAGCATCGTATATATACGAAATTGGGAGGATAATATTTTTGGAATTACCTTTTAGATTATTTAATATATATACTATTAGGTGCATATTTGTAAAAATATCAGTCTAGTCAAAGGGCGTGTTTACTAGTTAAAATAAATTTTTCATGTAATACTTCTTTCGATTTCTTTATACAATAATTAAATATTTATTTTTTTATATATTTTTTTCGATACCAGAAACATTTTGTCTAAGAGCCGTGAACTTGGTGCCAAATCCCTTGCGATTTGCGTGGTATCAACAGTACAGAAGAATTTTCCACCTGACATTGGAGCTCACATCGCATTACGTAAGAACATCGTCATGTAAACCTTTCAGTGGTCAACAGTTTGACTAAAATTACAAGAAAATTCACTGGCTCCGATATCACCGAAATCTAACAGAGTTGAAGTCAGTGTATTTCTGCAAATGTGAATTAGTGTGTTAATTTGGACTATTTAGTTCACACTTGCATTTAAACAACAATTTAAGTTCAACAAAACCGTGAGATTTTGGTTATGTCGGTTCTATAGAATTTTCTGGCGTCAAATATGTAAGCTTGAATACCTATGAAAATACCATTAAATATTTATTCACTAGGTACCATTCGCCGATTTCTGGATACTTTTCAAAACGAAACAATTATACTTTGCCTTGAACCACACGAGCGTGGAATTTACGAAGTGCTAGCACCATTATACTTTCCACGTGATATTTTAGAAGAAAGCAGTGCGTTGTGGCAGCTGCCGCGCGACATTGGGGGTAAATTCGGTGAACCGCAAATTTTTGATCGCCAAATTCGCATCATTCATAATCCACAGCACTCGGTCATGATTAACGGTACGTGCACGTGTATAGTATATAATTGAAATACTTCGAAAATTAAACTTATCATTATTTTGATGTTGTTGGAATTCTAAAAAAGAGTGCTGCTGCAATAAAACACGTCTGATTGGATCGAGTTCATAAACGAGCCTAACAAAAAAAAAACATTGCCTAACGTCATATGTCACCGAAATCATTTGATGTTATAATACAAAATGTTACCTCATTTTCAACAGATATGTCCATTCGATATTCGTCTAAATATTGAACTAACGCATTTCCACTGAATGTGTTCGTTGCAGACAATATATTTAGCTGCCGTCATCTGGATATTTCAGCTCATCTGGATGCCGTCAGCAGATGATGCGAAGTGAAAACAATAGAAGTGATTGTTATAGTAATACCAGTATATAACATTCTTATATACCTATAACAATCACTTCTATTGTTTTCACTTCGTATCATCTGCTGACGTTATCTAGATGAGCTGTAATATCCAGATGACGACAGCTAAATATATTGTCTGGTTCGTTGATAGTAGCCAAGCGAGAAACAAAGTAGGGAAATAAATACCAACAATAGCCACATGAGTACACAGAGCTAGAGTGCGATTTGAATGAAGAATGAAATATATTCGAGAATATTTTAGATATGTATATGTGTAAGCTTCATTCTGTGTATCCATGTGATTGCTTTTGTCCCTTCTTTGTTTCTGTTATTTGTTGAAAAGAGCTCAAATTCAGAAAACGCTTTTTATAAGCGTTTAGAGGTGATACGAAGCGTTTCCTTTAAAACCATAAATTGAGTGTATTTATTTATACGCGTATTTAATTATACGCGCAATACGCGTATTTTTGTTCTTGAATTAAATATTTCCATAGCTGTCAACGAATGAATGACAACGTTCAAATAATGATCACTGGTATTGTTGCAGGCGTAAATAACATAATACAAGCTCATCCGTTAAATGAATTCAATCGTTTATCTCCCATTGCAAATGAATGGCAACAATGAAGTTCATATTTCTATATTCTTCTCAATGCGACAAAAACGTTGCGTCCAATTTGATCGTGTTTGAAATGTTTTCATTTGTTTTTTTGATTTCAACAACTACAGAAAATGATCAATAATTCATTCGAATTTTCTTGTAAATACTTCAGATTATTTCACATTTTAACTTTATGATTATTAATTTATTTTTGTCACTGCAGCCGATGACGATTCGGATACAAATCCACGTGATTTGGATAGCGTAGATATTGAATATGGGTTGAGCTCACATCTGAACATCGGGCAACATTCATTCTCACAAATGCAGGTATATATTTAAATTCAAAATGGATTTGAAATGGTAATCATTCAAGATGGATTTGCACACTTTTTTTTGTTATAGGGGGACCTGGACCGTCAACGCTTGCTGGGCAACCGTCAACGCGTTGGACTTTATGAAAACAGCAATATTGATGCCGGAGACTGTGAAGGATTGGAACACCAAGAACGGTATGTTTTTCTTTTATGCATTTAGCAATCACCATTGAACATTCCACTACTATGCAACTTTTAAATAAGTCCATTTTAAGTGTATTATGCATAAAACTGTGCATAAGTGACTGACAGATGGCCGCTACTTGAACTTGTTTAGCAAATATTGTTTGAAAAGTTACCTACATTTAAACCTAAGTTCAGAAAAATTAGATTTTTTCATAATAAGGGTACAGCATGTCATGTCTTTAATCACAGTCACAAGATACTAGAAAAATAAGAGATCATTCGAACCCAATAGAAAAAAAAAACTTAAAAAAGGTAAAAAATGGACAATTTATATAGAAAATGTTTATATTCACTAGAAAGCACTTGACTTAAGCTACAAATAATACATAACCTCTTTTCAAAAAGGTAAAAATTAATGCATAAAAGTCAAAATTCAAAAAAACAGAAAAAAAAACTTGAAAAACACGTCACTCCTTCTAGAAAGTTATCGTCGTAATGAAAGTGCAATCTCATTTCTACAAAGTATGGAGGACATAACGACGCTTCTAATGACATATGACATTTGGATATTTTGGGAGCCGATCCCGAGGTAATCGAACTGAGGCGATTCACCCCGTCCTCCCCTATTGTGTGTCGGAACCGATTGCTGTTCTTTTTTTGTACGTTTGTTCATTTCATATATTGATCTATCGCACGATAATTGTAACTCCAATCAAAGGTGAAAATATGGGCGTATAATTGACTGACTATTTCAGTAATAATGATAAAAATTGAAACAAATACCACGAAACAACCCCTTTTTTGTGCACGATATGGTGACAAATTATGAATTTATGAGTGTTTTATTTGAGTCAGCGTCCATTTCAGTAGCATCTTCAAATAGTAAATGGCAATTCAATTTATGTACACACAAATTGCGTTTATTACAATTGGGAATTTCTAGCCGTTTCTTTTCCGATTCGACAATGAAAATATTTTATACCGACCTCGACATCAAACGCTTGGCACATATAACCAATATAAATTCTTTTGGTCACTAAATTATGAACACTGTCAAAATCTTTTACGAAATTTCAATAAAATTTATCATTTGATGACTTATTATCAAAATTCAGTAATTAACAGTATAAATTAATTGTAATTTATAAAAAAGAAATGATGAATTCATTTCACCATATTTATTGCTGAAAAATATCTATTTTAACGAATTTAATATAATATCTATGAAAACAAATGACGCATATAAAGCAGATATTTTAAGTACATCAAAGTGAGCATTAGAAATGTATGAAAGTATAATTTTGAGCTTTTCAAGCATTTTTTTAGAATGAATAACTTTTCAATATACATAATGTTAAATTGAATTGCAAAAATACTAAAACCTTTAATAGGTCTGAAAATTTCAAACATTTTCTCCCATTGAAGCGATGTTTGTGAAGAAATTCGGATGATGAACAAAAAAGATGCAAAAAGATATTGAATTTAAAAATCATATTTCAAATATTATGAATTTATTTTTTATTTTTCCGCTCACAGTCAGATTTTCTACTACGTGACACACGTACTGTAACGGGAAAAGTTTTATAAGATTCAAAATGTGATTTACCTGATTTTTACCAAAAATAGTTGTTATTTTAAAATGTACAAATTTCGCGAGTGATAATCGTCAAACCGTTTGTTTCGAGCAGTTCTTGCTCTAATTGTATCCATATTGATATCGATTCCGATCACACCAAGTATATTTCCGTCAATAATATCAAAGGTCTAAAAATAAGTTTGATGATTATTTTGATATAATTTTAAATCGATGTAATTTTCCTTTTATACCAAGGACTGAATCATTGTCTGTAACGAGAATATTATATTGAACAGACAAATGACGTAAATTCAACTTGTCTGAAATCATACGTTTACTCCATTTAACCTGTTGTTAAAAATAGCATATATTTTTATACTCGGTGTGATGAAAATAATTGACTTTATTTATCGGGTTGTTAATTACATTACAACTACATCACATTCGAATTCATTCATGAGATTTTCTTTAATTATAAAATGAGAAATATGATACACAACGCTGAACACTCAGTTTTGTTTTTAATAGCTTACCACTACTAATGGAAACTGAGTAAGTACAACTTCATGGAAAGCGATGAAAAAAGACACCGATTTTTACGTAGATACTATTGTAGAATAGTTCGAAAATAAAAGTAATTCATTTTTTCAAGTAGTGTTTGTAAATCGTATTGCGTCACATTTCATGATATTAAAGGTTAAATTTATCGTATTGTCAATGTATCTCAAAGCATCACATAGAATGATATCATCGCTTTTGTTTGTCCAAAAATCTTAAAATGCTGGCATTGTGACATTATCATTGTATTTTCATAAATCTAGCTGGATTATTATCTGAAAGTATGAACAAAATCTTAAATCCTCAAGTTATCACTTTATTTATGAAAGTGCTTCAACGTGTGTGTTTTTTTTATCAAAATGGTAAATTGCATTCAATCTAGTAATGAACTGCGTCATTTATTAAAAGATAATCTTTTTGCACTGATTCTTATTGGTAATTGAGTGCATCTTAAAATTCAAACCAATTGCATTTGTTCATTTTTCAAATGGGTTTCGTGATCCTTTGAACGATCATCATTCAATAATACACAGCTATATGTTATCAGAAAATCTGGGACGTGTTTTAATGTACATGCATCGGGCGATTCCTCTTGAATCGACAAAATCCAAAAATAAAATCTCTACCATCAGTGATTTAATATTTGTGTTTAAGCATCTTCGTTTCATCTTTTGTTGTTTCGTTGGGCGATTTATTGAAAACAAGTGCTTTTGAAAGATGTAGCTCCTCTCGCATAATATATGAATAGGTGAGTTTTAAAGTGACCTGAAATTCCACTGTAAATACCATGTAAAAAGTATTACGTTGCATTTTCATTTTTTCAACGGAGTTTCAAGTCACTTTAATCCTCACCCATTCATGGATATAGATATAAAAAAACAATTTGAATTATATTTTCATCGTATCCCGTTTTGTACACTTGTTTTCATACTAATAAAAGCAAGTTTTCAACATTAGATACGTAATCTAGGATCTAAAATTGAATGTCATGAATTAATGAAACAATGACTGTCCATTCGTAAAATATGGATGTTTGTCGGTCAATAAAATTGTTTAGCTACGTCGAATCGTAGGTATTTGCATTTAAGAACATGCCGAACAATGTCGTGTTCTGTTTGAGAAAAACGGAAAAACGGAAAAAATTACGTCACTAGTCTATTAAAGTATCCATTTACCAACGATAGCCTCAATAAAAAACGTGTTGAACTATTTTTGGGCGATATTGTATACATACTTCTTTATTGTTGATTTTCTTTATTCTTATATGTAAGAACTGCTCCCCTTAACTTCATTTTAACAATACCTCTTGCAATACCTACTGACTATTCATGAAGAGACGTGCCTTCTGTAAAGTGTCGCCATGTCCTAGATTTACTACAATTAATGACATATTTTTGTCGTATAATGAAGCGAAGTGTTGGTGTACCCGCAAAATGTTTTGAGATGATCTGTATTTTTATCTAGTACTATTTTTCTTTACAATTATTTTGTTCAAATGAAAATTCGAAAGTAACACACAATAAAATCATGACACTTACACAATCAAAACTTGTGAATAACAAGCACATTCGCTTAACTATCGAGCTCACATAGCTCGTATGTATACCAATATACATATATACGACAACAACGCACAATCGAAGAGGACCTCGCTTTTTTTCACAATATTCACATACAAGTAAAGTGACGATGTTATATACAAACACATCTTATATAAAAGCTGTGTTCATGTGCGTCGTATGTCAGTGCACAGTATGAGTGAGTCAGTCGTAGAATGAAAAATATTGTGAATGGAAATGCGAATTCAATTTTCCATTTGAGAGCTTTCTCAGTTTCATTACAGGCATTCAATGAATTTGACGTGCATTTTTATTACACGATAAAATCGTAAATGAACTAAAAACTTATATAAAGTAAAAAAAAAGAAGATTCAAAATATTTTCATAAGAGATGTATTCTCATAAAATCGATTTTTTATAAGTAAACAAAATCGAAAGACTTTGTGGAAGACAAGAATTTTAGTCGTGGTGAATAAGACAAACAAAATGAAAATATTACAATGAATGACAGCCAGCTTTCATTGATTAAATAGTGCCGTGTGATTTACTTTGGATTTATCAAGATATTGCTGCGGAAATATGTGATTTCTATTGAATCAAACTTAAGAAAAACAATAAATCAACGTAAAATTGAATTAAATACATGTGCAAATAATATAAAACTTATTTGAATAAAAAAAATATATCATCTTCGGGTCTCAATTTTGATAGTCATATATTTTTGATGACATTATTTAATAAAATGATTATTATATAGATTTTACACAGAAAAACGGAATTGAGTTTAGAAAAGAACAAAAACATTTTCGATTTTAAATATTGAAAGAAAAAAAAATCACATTTTTTATATCTACCGATGTATAGACATTCTGAATACCATATCATTCGATTATTAAGAAAAACATTGCTTGCATAAAAGGCAATCACAGTACCTTACAGTTACGCGGTGGAATTGTAGAAAAAATACATATTGATAAAATTGACACACGAAATCATAAAATATTTGAGTGAAATAGGAAGAATTCATAAATCCACAAGCTCGTGTTCAAGCTCTAAAATGATGACAATGATGGAATCAACAACAACTATCGATTTAACCGATACTGCTGCACCGCAAGCAACATCAATCGAGGAAATTCACATTGAAACGATTGAAGAAAGGTTATCCATATACTAACATATTGATATTACTTGTTTTTATATTTTCGTGTCTGACATTCACATTGCTTTCAAAATCTCACTCTTTATACATTTTTATTAAGAATTTTCATCAATATTTATGAAAAAAAAGTGCAAAAAAGTTTGTCTCACTCTAAAATTTCAATAATTGGCTATCAAATGAAGAAAAACTATAAATAAAATTGAAATAAACAGCCATACAATCTACTAATGTTAAATAGTATAGAATCTTTAGGCGCCCCTATCGAGTACTTGTATCAAAACGATTTTTTTTTGTTTGCCGTCTCCATTAATAAAAATATCGAACACCAAAAATAGACAAAACTTCAAATATCAGAAATCAATAAGATAATACTTTTTTTTAAAAAACACTATCAAAATACTAAAAATCGATCATTTGAAATATGATATTTTTGTGTGATTCAAGTGGAATTGACCGTTTGCACATATGACGCGTGTGATGGCGTATTAAATGCCCAAGTTTCTTAGGAATGTAGTTCTGAATTAAATAAATAATAATAGTTATGTAAAGTAGGAAATATGCCTAGGCTCGTGAGCGTTAATTGCGTGTGCATAAATCAAATGAATAACACTGAACGTACTCGCTCGCACTTATAATTAATTTAAATTTCTGCGCAAAACTTTAAATAATCAACGAACACAACACGAAATACACGTATTTTCATTATTTTTACGTTAGTGAGTCGTGAAATGTGCATACAAAATATTCAGTTTATCGAATAAAAAATGAGCAAATTTTTCAATAAAAAGGTTTAATCTATGATGCCTGTCAATCATCATTTTTTTATGCATATATATTGTTGCATAAATTAAGTATAAAAAGCCAAATTTGGAATAGAGAATCGGTATTTTGTATCAATGAGTATTTTTTCTTTTTCTTTTAAAATTTATCTTACCATTACTTGATTTTATCGCGACAACCCAGATATCGCCAAATAGTTATATATAGTTGCTATTGTAGTTAATCACTGGTCAGGTGATAATCTGACTATATAACAATGATGCGAGAGAAATATTCTCTGTGTAGTCTACTGATAAAAGTTTTATTGTTTCTTGAGCATTGAGATAAAAAGGAGATAACTGAATATATTTTTACTCTCCGGAAATTTATGATCTGATCTGATCAGTCTTAGAGCAGCAACCGAACGAAACTGTCGTTGATCACACCACTTAAACAGTAAAAAAGCGTATACTTATTTTAATAAAAGAAAAATGGAAAGCTCAAAACTAGAAGTAAAATTGGAAGATTATGATGTAATATGATCTATATGATGTAATATATTATCAACCAATTAATAAATTGTAAATGTTTGAATATCACAACTCATTCGATTGGATGGAAAACGAAAATCAAACTGCACAACGTATTCGTGCACGACGTGCACCAACATCATCGTTAAATTGTACGCAATTAAAATTACTATACGTCTTCCATAAGAAAAACGAAAAAGATTTATTGATATTAAATAAGTGATACACAATGTAAACTTTCTCACACAATTCATGTGCTTCTTGCATTGTTTTCATGTCAAATGAAGTCATGAGTCACTGCATATACTGCATCTGAAAAAAAAAATCAATTTTTTTATATTATTGGCAATAGAAAAGAAAATGTAATAACAGAGCCGTGTAATCTATAGTTTTGGCGTTAGTGTTGCCACTGCCGCTACGCACCTTTGGTTTGCTATGTGCATTTTTGAGCCATCGAGTGAACAATTTTGTTCAACAATTTTGTGGGCGCGTAGCAGAAGCGTAGTTCTTCAATTTCATAGTTTTGTGCAATAGGAAATACATTAACATACTAAAAAATAGATATAAAAATTTGCTCATTTTGCATTGTTTGGTTATTTATATTTTCAAGCGAATTATTGGTTGAAGAATGAAGACAAAACAGCCCATTTGTAAATTGAAAAAGCAACAATTAAATACATTTTTTCGTAGAGGTCTTAATTTAAGTTTTTTATTGATGCGAAAATCCTAAGAATCATATAGGTCTCCAAGAATCATTTGAAATGAAACGGAATAGCACGCTATTTGGAACATTTCGATTGTGTGACAACAAAAACTTGTCTTTTCACCGTGTTACTCCAAATGTAGGGTTCTATATTGATATTTAAGATATGTCCATATTTGGAATTTCATGATGAAAAGACAAATTTTTATTGTCACACACTCGAAATGTCCTAAAAAGTGTACTATTTCGTTTCATTTCAAATGAATAGCATATTATCAAAATTTTAAATTCATATATTCAATATTACCAATTTGAAATTTGACGAAAATACTATAGAGCAATTTTCCACAGCGTTCTTTAAGAAAAAACTAAGGAAGTCAAAGAAAAAAATAAAGTTTCCATTTGACACTGTCAACCCAGAGAAAAATTAATGCTCTCAAAACTATTCTTTTCAAAATGTATCTAAAATGAACTCCAAATAATTATCTTTGTCAAAATTCTGTTTTTATTCCTCTTCACCCCTCTGAAGAAGAGGACAACAAAGAATATGAAAAAAAAAAATCATGAACAAGACACAGAAACGAAGACCGATATAAAAATAGCAATAAAAAGTCACAATGTCAGTATGTTTGTTATCAAACAAAAAGTATAGTTAATTTGTCAGCCCGAATTTTTGAATGACAGCAATAAAAAATGTATGTGGCCTCTGGGTGCAATTATATATAATTCTCTGGTAAAAGCTGATCAATGAAGTAAAGCGATTGATTCAACGTTTGTAGAGTTGGTTTAAAACTAATCCATGGACATTGAATAGTTGGGTTGATCACCCGACATATGGAAAAGATGTCGTGTTATGATCTTGCGTCATCAAATATATCGATGTTATTGAAAAGGTGCTGCTTGCATGTCCTTTAAATAAATGCCTATGATTGACGTTATGAACAAATTCATTATCAAATATGACAAATTATTTACCATTCGGTAAACATAGAAATTGTGTCCACTGAAATTTACATATTACTTCGTTTCTTGCTGAATTTGATTAAAAATGAGAACACCGACATTGAAAGGCTATTTCCTTTTTAGTTGGATTGACCTTGCACGTGGACAACAAACAAATGAATATATTTATAACCAATCACAAAACTCTATTTTTTATTTTTTTAACTCCTTGAGTGGAGCATAGAGCCTCATAAACTCTATTACAAAGTAATAAATCTAATTGGAGAATATTTAATAATCCCAATTACGTTTTGCTTAATTTTGATACTCATTTAAGTGAGAATAATTTAGATTGATTTATATTGTCAAATAAAAGCATTCAAATAGATTATTTGAAAAACGAAAATTGGAATGAAATGCCCTTGAATCGAAAATAGTAATATCATATATCAGAACAGGGATTACCCTACAGCCCCCACTACGAACTTTACTTATTCCTATTAGACTAAAAAACAAGAATTTCTTATAATATGAATAAATGTTTGAGATGCCAGGACCCAGTTTTTCTGTGTGAAATAAAAAAATAAAAATCATGTTTCGTGTGATTTTTTTATAGATGTTATATTGGATATGGGAACCCCACCCGAATGAAAGTTTTTTTTCTCGCAAAAATGAAGATTCCAATATTAGCAAGAAATCAAGAAATATCTAATAATAGTAGTGAAATTAGTGTTTGTAGCTATGCCTATTATGTTGACGAGTGTTGGGTAAACCCTGCCTTTAAATGGGATTATATCATATAATAGCGATCATGCACTTATGCTTAGTCACAGATTTATTGCAACATTCAATAATCGATATTAGCGTGTACATAAGCTACTTGACATTCTAATTGCAAACAATTTACCATTGGTTTTAATTCCTTTTTTTTCTTTTTATTCTCTATCCAATCTAGATATGAACGTTTATTGAGGCGAGCACGCACCGAGGACTTGACAGAAGTATCGGGCATTGGATGCTTATATCAAAGTGGTGTTGACCGTTTGGGTCGACCAGTTGTTGTTTTCTGTGGAAAATGGTTTCCTGCACACAATATCGATTTAGAAAAAGCGCTTCTATACTTAATTTACTTACTTGATCCAATTGTTAAGGGTGATTATGTTATTGCATATTTTCACACATTAACCAACTCCAATAATTATCCATCGCTACACTGGCTTAAAGAAGTGTACAGCATACTTCCATACAAGTACGTATTCAGTAATGTAATGTAATAAATTAATAACTCGCAAGAGAAAAGTGCGTTTCTATGTTATATATAGGAAATGTCAGTCGCCTCCTGTCGATAGACGCCATCTCTGAATGCTTATGAAAAGTTAATTTTCTTAAGTAATTAGATTTTCATTGGCATTCCGATATGATGCTTATCGGCGAGAGATACGTATAGTGTCGCATTTATCAATATACATCGAATGATATATAAAAATATTAATTTTTAATTTTATATATTTTCAGGTATAAGAAAAATTTGAAAGCCTTCTACATTGTACACCCAACATTTTGGACAAGGGTATTTATTGATTTTTTTTCTCTAATAATTATGCATAACTTGATGTATGCACAAACTCGAATAAAAATTAAATATATATGTATATTGTTTATTTAGATGATGACATGGTGGTTTTTAACATTTATGGCACCTGCGATCAAATCAAAAGTTCATCAATTACCTGGTGTCGAACATTTGTATGCGGTCATGACAAGAGATCAATTAGAAATTCCAGCGTATATAACTGAATATGATATGGCGGTAAAGATAAAATGACTCTCTCTTTTTCTCTTTTTTTTTTTTTTTCAAAAAAAGTGACTTGAAATCATATTCATTTATTTATTTTGTATAGACAAATGGCCTTCATTACTTCCAACCGATAACACGTCAAACGCCCGAACTTTAATTCAACAACAATCAACTTATACCACGGTAATTCATATACCAACCGAAAATGACGTCATGACACTCAATCTAATTAAAAATTTTTGAAGAAACCAATATATTTGTTTAACACATAAAAGGAAGCAATGCCTATCTTGAGTATATTCACATTTAATTGGGCAGTGGTATAGAAAAGGGAAATTGTTAAAGATACGCGAAAAATAAGTAATTCATTATACCGAGATTCGATTGCTTATCAGTCGTGTTGTTGAGAATTAGGAGAAAGAAAAATAAATAAATCTTAATGAATAAAAGTGGTCTACACGATTACATGTGACTCCAAACGTTTGTAAGTTTAATATGGAAAAAGCACTAAGTAAAGTATTCATTCACCACCCCGTTTCTAACTTCGTTTTCATTGCGCAACACTGTCAAAGTTAACTAAAGTTTCTGAACATATATTTTATTTCTTCTCATAGAAAAAAAAAGAATGCTTCAGAAAGCATCTAAAACACTTATATTCCCCCACTTTTGGGATGAAATGTGATTCAAAAATACCCGAGCTAATAAAATCCACCAGATTTTCTTTTCTCTTGTTTAAGAAATCAATAAAAAGTATATTAGATGCCATCGAGGCATTGTTTTGCGTCACATAGGAAAGTAATAAATTAACAGCTTAATGAAGATATTTTCGATAAATAAATAAATGAAAATAAACTATTTAAAAAAAACTAAATTAATTAATAGCAGTACATATGGATCATTCAATTTTAGTATTTCAACAGAACAACAATAATAATTAACATGAAAAAGAAAAAAAAGATATTCACTTGAGTCTCCAAATTATTTGGAAATAAACATTTAAATAAACCAATTTAACCGGAAAAATTAAAATAAAATAAACTAATTTAGATTGTGAGCTGTGGATCAACATGCTATCATTAGACGTTTTTAGAATGTCAAAAGTTGTTCTGATAAAAAAAATCCTCTTTTAATTCGATTTGCTTTAGACATACTAAAAGCAAACATGAATTAAGATAGAAGAGTTTTAAAATTTCAAAAAGTTATTGTTTTCTTATTAAATTATAGATACTATTGTTAAATTAATCCTGTGTTAAATTTATAAAAATAAATATTTTTTAATAAGATGTATTTTAGTGCGAAAAATTAGTATAAAAAATCGCCAATTATTTCATTAAAGCTTCAAATGTTTCTTTATATAAGACAACGTAATGTTTTTATTTCAATATTTTTAATGTTATAATAAACAAGCTCTATCATAGTGGAGAAAGGTGCAGAGTAGAAACAACCAATGTATTGGTCAACGTTTTCGAAAAATTCTTTATCATAATTAATAAAAAAAAATACCGTTTTTGTTTTGCATTAATCGAATGTTACTGAAAAGAAATTTTCATAGTTTTTGATTGTGTTATGATATATGATTCGGAATTCGAATCAAATTTTTGAACATTTTTTTTATTTTTTGAAAATGTTCACTGTCCATTTGCTAGGAGTCCGATTGCGTCCGAGTGCAGTCAAGTCCATGCCCATATAGCACTCTATGGATGCGTCCAATGAAGTTCATATTTCTTATGCGAAATTTTTTTCTCATGCTTTTTACTTTGTTTTGCTGTTGTAGTAGTGTAGTACGGGGCTACGTATCCGATTATTTTAAGTTAGCTACCAATTTTCTATGGTCGAAGTCCATATGTCCGTTTTCTCCTTAATTTTCCTCATTCTCATCATCAATGAATTTAATTTCTCCAATAATTTCGAAAGAATCACTGTTGAAACTGGTACCATGAGGATATTTTAAATTAAAATTAATTTTTCGAAAAAACCGACTATGTCCAATTATAGTCGACTTCCTATAATATCAGAAAACGGACACGATTAAAATCGGACGACTGGGAAATAGAGCCTTGAAATAATCGATTCATTGGAAATATATATAATACTAAAACATCAGAAATCAGTATGCCTCATGTTGTTTGTGAACATCGCTCGAAATACTTTGATAGTATGATATTTATTTTACTTTTTCCATGACTTTAGCAGCCAGAACATTTCCAATGGATATCAAAGAGGAACGTTGTTAATAAAACAATGATTTGCTACAATCTTGTTTTTTTTTTACAAACATGCTCATCAAGAAAAGTATATACTATGACTTCGCTTTCAAGACCAATGAAAATGTTGCTGAGAAATCAAAGTGTGTTTGATATAGATAACCATTATCAAATAAAAATGTAAATAATTTGAAAGTTACATCATGCGACCGAATTGTATTTGTCTTGATGCAGAAAAATAGTCAAGATACTTGAATCAATCAAAAACTCAAATCGAATTGAAGCCTGGATTTGATTACAACTGATTCGCAAATTTATTATGATGAAAAATCCTCATCATCATTTTCATGAATACATTGCTCTAACGATAAAGTGTATTTGAATAATATCATATCATCATCGGGTATGTACTGAAATATATTCTGTAAAATAATCGTATTAAATGAGCAACGATATGAATAAGGAAGGCAGTGTTTGTTTATTGTTGTTGTTTTAATATTGTTGTGACATAAACAAAAATCATTAACGATGAAAAAAAAAAACACTTGACATATCTTTTCTTCGTCGGTTTTTGAGTGCAATCTCTCAATTTCAGCGTTTAGAATTTGGAAAATTTCAAACTTTCAAATAGAGATTTCAAAATACTGTAAATAGTTAGACAATTGAAGTGTATTTTATCAAATTCCACCGAATGATACTCAGAGAAACAATCTGTTTGAAGTACAATAACCTAAATTTAACAAGCCACCAAATCAAACAAAATTCGCTTTCGATTGAGCTGAGACACACATTGTTGTTGCTGTCAATTCAAACGTGTCATTGATTGTCCACCATTTGCAACGTGCACCTAATGTTCAGTCTTGTTTCTGGCATTTTATTAAATAGATGTTTGAATTTAATAGTTTCAAACTAAATTAGTTTATTCGCTGCATCTAACTTACGTAAATTTTTTTGATCATAACATTGGCAGTACGATGAATAACGAATGGCCACGAAATATGCTACAATTGCTATCAGTTGCGGCTTTTATAACATTCATACTTTTTGGCGGCATTGCATTTACAACTGCGATTATTTTACTGCTTGTAAGACATTCATTCCCATTTGTGTTCAATTTATGTTTATAAAAAAAAAAATAAAAAACCAAATCATTTAACGAACATTTATATTGCATTCCAGATTTATGGAAATATTTACTGGCAAATTTTGTGTATTTCATATTTGATATTTTTTTATATTGATTTCGAAACGCCAAGTAAGGGCGGCCGAGGCGTGGGGTAAGCCTTAAGTTTTTGAGTACAATTTTTGTGAATTGATGTAAATAGTCGTTGATTTAATCAATTATTAGATGTGAGTGGGTACGAAACTGGCGTGTCTGGAAACATGTTGTCGATTATTTTCCAGTTGACTTGGTTAAAACGGCTGATTTTCCAGCCGATCGTAATTATTTAATCGCAGCAACACCACATGGAATTCTTTGGTAAGAAAAATTATATTCCAAATTTCAAACCAATTCATAGTTCAATGAATTTTTTGCTTCGATTTAACAGTTTTGGTGCACTTATCAATGGCATGACAAATTACTCCAAGTGGCGTCGATTATTTCCACAAATTCGATCGAAAGTATTAACACATTTTCTTTATTTTCCCATTATTTCCATTACTTCCATTGATTAATTTCCATTATGTCCAATGTGATTTGCCCTAGGTATTAACACTTAGTATAAATATGTTATTTCCAATATTTCGTGAGGCGATATTGAGTTGGGGTTTGTCAGACTCATCCGCTGAGAATATAAATACATTATTGTCACAGTCGAATGATCCAATCGATCCATCAAATAGAGATGGTTTTACGTCAAATGCTGCAATTGTCATGTTTGGTGGAGCACGTGAAGCATTTTTAAGTGCACCGAATACGTATAAAGTATTTTTGAATTCTCGCAAAGGATTCATTCGAATGGCAATACAAAATGGAGCCAGTCTAGTACCTGCAGGTTTGAATGAAATTTTTATTTTAAAAAACCAAATAACACATGTTTATTATATTTAAATCGGGATATTTTATTTATTTCTTTAAGTGGCCTTCGGTGAGACAAACGTTTATGATACAACGCAAAGTAAAACTGATTCGTTTGTTCGCAAAATTCAAGAGATAATCAAAAAATATACAACATTAGCGCCAGTCGCATTCAACGGCCGTGGTATTTTTCAGCAGAGTTTTGGCTTAATCCCCCGGCGACGTCCAATTACATTAGTTGTTGGTGCGCCGATTCATATAAACCGAAATCCAGAATCAAAAGACGTTAGTGAAACCGAAATCAATGATATGCATGCAACATTCCGAAAAAAACTAATCGAATTGTTTGAAACTCACAAATCCAAGTACATTGAAAACCACGAAAAAATTCATTTAGAAATAGCATGATTACAGTTCCAAAAATGGAATTTATAAAATAGAATTTCTCAATTAGTAATTACTTCAGCGAATTGTTTTTCAAAAAAAAAATGTCGGCTCAAAATATGTTACTTTAATTAAAACACGATCTATCTATTGCGAGACCTCCCCAAACGTTGGATGAAGCAACCTTTAAATGAGTTCAAACGTACATCAATTTCACCTTCTTCAAGCTAAAAGACAAAATAATTTTTATATACAAAAAACATTTGTTAAACTATAGTTTAAATTTAAATTATAACCACCTCATCGAACTCATAAATCTCATTGTAACACGAAGGCGATACACATTCTCGAATACAACGAACACGAGCTATTCCGGCCAATATTTCACACCTTTTGCTTTGATCACAAGCCGATTCAAACTCCCGATATGAAAGTTCCTATATGTATAAATACATAAATATTATTTTTGTATAAAATGAAATCAATGTCAAATAATGAATAAAAAACATAATTATAATAAACACACGTACATTTTTACTCGTCTCTTTGTAGTCATATTCAGGAAAATGGAACACAATATCGGCTTTACTATAATATTAATTATTTAGATATGTATTAGTACATTTATAGTTATTTGCATCAGAAGCACAGTCAATATATCTGATGAACAGAACTGATCTAACAAATTGAAAAGGTAAGACAATTTTTGCATTTTAAGAGTTTTTTTGGAGATCAATTTGTTAGTGAATCAAAACATGTCATAGTTTGTGAAACATCCTGAACATGTATTCAACAATCGGCAATGGAATTAGAATCAACAAAACAATATGATTCAATCGGAAGCAATGAACAGTTCAACCATGAAAAATGGCCGATGGATGAAAAGAATATACACAGAAAAACGAGATTTAAATGGAAAATAATTCAAAGAATAGTATCATCAAAAGTATATATTCAAGATATGTATGGATGCATCGGCAACATTTTGATGTTAATGGATGGCAGTAATTTGCATTTAATCTCTATTAACAACAACAATCCGCACGGTAATTAAATAAACACCTGTGGTTTTGAGAAGTTGTTAAGAATACAGCTGAAATATTTCATTGATCTACAGTGTGGCCAGAAGGTTTGTTTTTGTACCATTGAACTCATATTTTGTGAAAACTTAATGAAATAGTTTGAATCAAAAATTTGGTCATTAGTGACAACGGCACAATTTGATTTCCACAATCGATTGTTAATTTTCTTCATCTTTCATTTTTAATGCTATAATAAATATCACTTACACTGTAATAGTATATCCAACAATAACGATAATTAATGAAATTATCGGAAAACGTCGAGTTTTCTTGATATCTCGGAATTCAAACATTTCTAACTTGGAATTCAAGAGCTTCTATTTGTCAAACTGCACCACACGTTGACAGAATCGTATACATTTCTTCTGCGCATGACAATTTCATCAAGACATTTAATTTCAAAAAAGACGTTTATTACATTGTACTTTTATTTTGTGTAAATTTGCAACACATCATTCCATTATTATTAGAATATTTCACACTTGTGAGAAAGAAGCAATTCTATAAAACATTCCATAAACACTTTTATATTTTTAGAAAATAATACCAAAAAATGATGTAATATTGTAAATTGTGAACTACTGAAACTTCTATTTCTAGTTATCTGCAGAATACTGAAGCAGTCGGGAAATATTCTGGTATTCTCTCTCCGTCTGGAGAAATGATACATTTTAGTATCACAATTATGGGAAAATATTCACGATTCATCCTTCAACGTTTTGAGTAGATGTATACAAATCCCAAAATCCCAGCAAATGATATTGAACCAAATACCATTATTCGTGATAAAATCTGTCCACACATTCAATATAATGACAAAAATACGTTATGTAAATTATTTAAAAATTGCCAAAAATCAATACAACCTTATCTTGCCATTTTCGATTATCGATGCATTGTTTATACGGCATGTGGCTGAATGAAATCGAATTATATAGAGGAATCCAGTAATTTGCAAAAATTCGATACAAAAAATCGTCCAATATTTTACGAAGACGGTAAGATTTACTCCGTACTAAATCTCGCATCTATTTCGATATTGAACCAACTTATTTTATTTTTGCATTTATTCTAAATATATTGTAACTAACCTCAACGTAATTGTACATGGCCAAATCACAAATTGCTTCTGCATTTGGCCATCGACAATCGCTAAATTCTTTTAATGCCAAATGAAAGTGATTTTGGTGTTGATCAAGAATCTGGCTAAGAATGGTACAATCTTCGAATCCGGCATTCATCCCTTGACCATAAAATGGTACCATTGCGTGGGCAGCATCACCCAGCAATAAAAAATTTGGATCAACATAAGTTGGACGACACTAAAGAAAAGTACACTTTTTAAAGTTTGAGTTTTCTCGTTTGCTCTGAAGTAGTTAGAATATTGAAAAAAAAAATCGCTGGTTTTTACCTTAATCGATACTAAATGTTGTGGTGTTGCTTTGAAAAAATCGTCAATCAAACGCTTTTCACCAATAAAGTCAATAGAGTCGGGGAAATTTTCGGTGAAAAATGTTAATAGATCATCAATTGTGACGATTGAGGCAAAATTTGAAAACGGCATGAACAAAGTAACAGTCCACGATTTGTCTTGATTTGGTAATGCAATCATCATAAATTTTCCACGTGGCCAAATGTGCAAATAGTTCACCTCCATTTGAAACTGAAAAAGAAATATTAGAAAACGCAATAATACAACTAAAAATAAAATTGATTATAAGAAATGACGAACCTCTCCGTTGACAGGCGGTATGCACAATTCAATATAGCCATGATCGATGTATGTTTGACTGAAGTCGAATCCGGGTACTTGTAGCATAGCACGACGCACCGCGCTGAATGCTCCGTCACAGCCCACAATCAAGTCTCCCGCTACATTTTCGATTCCATCATTTTTTTCACTATGAAATTTACATGAAACGTTTTCAGATTTGAGATCAAATCATTTGAATTTCAAAAATTAACAAATAATTTATCAGAGTTGAAATATAGATTTGACATAGGATATCCCTTCAATAAATCAAATCATAACAATCTTCTAAATTAAATAATAAACATTGGAAACAACTGAGAAAACATGATTATTTGAATAGGAATGCGTTAGTTGATTAAAAACACTTTTCTTTTTCTTATAAATATTTATCATCTTTTTACAGAACAATTGTTTCGACGCTCAATGCGTCATGAGTTAAAATTCTACAGCTGATGATGACGCATTGAGCGTCGAAACAATTGTTCTGTAAAAAGATAATAAATATTTATAAGACAAAAAAGTGTTTTTAATCAACTAACGTATTCCTATTCGTTTATGTCTTATAGTCCTCAAAAACTAAAATTATTTTATGATTATTTGAACCTGAAAAATTGATATGATTTCATTTTTTTTTAAATATCAAACAAATTATCTTAATCAATAGATAATTTTTGAGAATGGTGTCAAATGACTTAAATTGACTTCAGATAAAATTATTGCATCAACTCAAATGTTACTCACTCATGAAATGTAACCTGACGCTGTCTCAATTTTGCACTTGTCATTTTTCTATTGAAATTCAAATGAATATTCGAATACTTCTCAGCTTCTGTAATGTATATTTTGATGTATCAAACAAAATATGTTAGGATCAATACTATTTATTTAAATTATTTCTTCTTTAGTTCAGTAAAATGTCAATCTTCACTCACCATTTAGTAAAACTTCATTCAGATGCTTACGACCAACTGAATAAATGCACTGAAGATATCACAGTAATAATAAAAATATAAAAGAGTTATATTTGAAGAACATTAGATTTCAATTAAGCCCTAGGGGGAGACACGGGCTCTAATATTGCTATAGCAATTATAATTTTTCCAACATTTTTAGTAAGTTGCATATACGTGTACATTCGACAGGACCTAATAAGTGATGTGTGTGTCCACCCCTAGAATTAAGCAAAAAATGAGTTTACCTGATTCGTATTTGAGTCGTAAGGAACGGCTTGCGTTCGGCCAGCAAGATCATGTAACATTCGTCCACGCATTGGAATTCCATGCTTTAGTAATTTGTCCTCTAATCCCACTTCAGCAAGTGCCCTTCGACCACGTGCAGAAAGCGCCAAATTAATACTCCGCCCTTTAACAAGCTCAATTTTACGGATATCTATTTTAAATTTATTACAATATTGAAAACTTTCAAATTGAAAAATTATAAAATATTTAAAAGGTGTATTTTGTGAAATGTTTGTAACTTTTTCACAAAAATTCAATCATACCTTCTCGGTACTCATACAAATGAACATCGTGTCCTTTTTTCGCAAAATTTATTGCCGCTAGTGAACCAACCTGTTGTGAATTATATGAAAACGTTTTTTTTTTTTAATAAATAATAGTATTGAAGTAACTATTTTGCAAAGAACCACTCAGCGATAAAATATTTATATTGTTCAAGTTGCTCGAATATTTTGACTTTGTTACTGTTGAAGACTTATTTTCACATAATGCATTATGAAGATCTATTTTAATAAATTTGTTCAGGTCACGAATATTCTCACCGGAGGTTGTGAGTTGCGAGAATAATTGATTTTTTCACAGCATACAAGTAGACTTTAAAATCAATAACATTTTACTCTAACACTTGTCTATAACAATAATAATATTATTTACAATGGAATATAGTCGTGAATGTAGTATGTGTACGAATAATATATCACAAAATACGGAACAATTTTCAAAAAATTTACTCTTCTAACTATTTTTTGTGGTTCGATCACTCGTTTTACACATTTTCTATTTGATAACAAAAATTATTTAAAAAAATGTTTTACCAAGCCACCTCCGACAATAATAATCTTGAAATGTTGGTCGGATTGACCGTTGGTAGTAACCATTTCGTCGAATTCCTGTGACATTTGAAAAATAATGTTTTATAAAGAGCTCCAGTCAAATGAAAAAATTCACGAAAATGAACCAGTTATATGAAGAAAGATTCAAGTAATGTGCTCTTTTTATATTTTGAGCTGTTTTGATAGATAGTAGATACGATCACGCGAATTACGTTTTAATTAGTCTTAATAAGTGTATTATCTGAAATTTTTTGAATTTTTTCCTGGATGGAAATTTAAATACAATCGTTCTCAGTTACGATGCGTCAAATTCATCACGATATTTGGCTGATAAAAAACAACTGATTATATTCATATTTATACATAATAAGGTTGTGGCGCTCCATTTGAACTGAAATGCACACATAAAACATCAGTAAAAGAATTGGTTAAATGAGCTGATAAATTGAGAGTTTATCAACAGTTGTCAAAATAACTACTGGTATATTCATACAATTGCTGATCAACACAGTTAAATAATTTTACTACTAACGTTTTTTGTGTGTATATATCCAATGTCTCAAGTTGAGTGAATCTAGAGGTGCCATACATATGAAACCTATTCATTTGAAATGAAACTACATAAAGAAACCGTAAAAATGCTTGTGTACATTGGGTTTAAAATAATATATTACGCACTGTAAAGTAGTTAACTGTGGCACACGAACATAATCTATGGTAAATACATGGTATCATGATATTTAATAATTAATTGAGTCGAAGAGAGCAAATATTTTCAACTTAGATTTACAAAATTACTGATAATTTAAAAACATATTTCTTACTACAACTAAATCCGAAAATCTGATGACAGACAAGGGCATAATTGAATGGGTCAGAATAAAAATCGGACTTGCACGCAGAGTCTATAAAAGTAAAACACATAGTTTTGTTTACATAGAATTGTTGTTGTATTACAACAAATAAACTATGTAAAACAAAACTGTGTGTTCCACTTTTATAGACTCTGCGCACAAGACGGATTTCTATTCTGACCCATTCAACTGTGTTATCGCTACAAATGATATTTTTTCTTAAATCTATACAACAGATCAGATGCCACAACAAAAATTATTTTTCATTAACACAGGAGGCTATAGTAGAAAAAAAATAACGAAACCTACAGAAGCGGAAATTTGCGAACGAATAAACGAACGTGTTGAAAATCTACTGATAGATGTCAATGCAAATAGTTTTAGAAACTTGAATAAAAGCACAAATCTGTTAAACTTTTTCATTCATTGGCACATTTGTGTATATATACATACGTATGTATATATAAAAACATGAAGACACCACCCCCACTGATATGATTTGAAAGCGTTAAGTTTGTTTATGATTCCAAAATTACATCCCGATCATGTTGTTTCGACCACATCAGTCAAAATTGTCGGAATTCGGAGCGAAAGTAATAGCCACATATTGACCTGACTTGGGCCAAAATATCTTGTGTGTGAAAAAAAGAGTACAACCGAATACAAGATTTGAAAATCACATAGCTCAGAAAGATCGAGTTCGGTCGTGTTTTTTTTCTCTCTCGATTAGTTACGAGCGGGCCATCAAAGCGTACGGTTCGGATAAATATAGTGTGAGAAAGAGTCGAATCCCGCGACGACTTAAAGTTTTAATCATCATTTTTTTTCTTCCTTTTTTTCATTTCCACTTTTTTTGTTTTTCATATTTTCTCATATAATTCATTATTATTTGTTTGTCTTTCGTCTTTTATTCTCGAAATTCATCGGTTAAAAAAATACGAACAAATCGTTGCTCACTGTAACTGCGACGGCAAAAGCTATATGTCCTTTTTCTAAGTGAGCTCGATTCATACGGATTTACAAGCGGAAGAAGATCATATTTTATTTGTAAAATTCTCGTTAAAACTCAAGTTGAATTTATTTTCGGTGTGTTGAACGACTGCTGTTTTATTTTAGCTGTTCATTTGTCGTACAGAAATATTCGATATGAACATTAGTTCGTGGTTAAAAATTGTTACGGCTCTTGTGTGCGTGTTCTTGGCATTTGTCTCACTTCCAGTAGAATGTGCAAAGCAAGCTCCTGGACCAGCAGCAGCGACACATGAGCCTGTCATCGAAGAAGTGACTCAAAAACAACTTGAGAGAATCTTGCAGGAAAAGGATTATGTAGCCGTTTACTGGTGTAAGTGAAAACAACAAAATCGAAAAAAAAACTTATAGACACTAAATACAATCTGCCTTTGGCATTGAGAATAAAAAGAAAACTTATCTAAATGCACTGCCAAACTTAGTTAATCTACAATTCGATGAAGTCACTTGAAATTAAAAAAAAACTCACTAATCGAAACGAATATAAATAAATTAATACTCCAATGTGTTCATCAGATACAGACCGCCGAATTGTAATCTAAATCAATTTCTGTGCTTGAACAGATTTTCCATCGTTTCCAGGTTGACTTCAGCTGGAATTTAAAAGCATGATGAACCAATATTTTCAACTACCTAATAATGCTCATAGTATAGATGGTTGATAAAATCCGTAAAAACTAGCTATTTTTTATTATTAACAGAAAAAAAAGTGTGACAAAACGTTTGGAAAATATATTTTGTGCAAAAACCATAGCGATTTTTTTCGCATTTGGTTTTATTCTTATGCTCGACAACTATTTGAGTTAAAACAGGAGAATGGGTGAAAATCTATTTTCATCGCTTGTTGTTCAAACAGAGATAGAGTAAATGAATAATATAAATTTCGAAGCAAAGGAAGAAACCAAATATTTTAAGCAAAAGACTATACGCCAAACGAAATATGTGGTATGTTCGAAGAAAGAGTAAGACTTTTAGACGGGCTATATTCTTTTCTCTCACTCTCATGCTCTCACTCTTTCACGGCATTCGGTATTGATTTCAACGGTGTGTATACGAATTTGTTTGTGTGCAAAGTTACAATATCGCTTGATTATTATATAATTTCGAGTATACAGAAAGCAACGATATAACATAAAAATGAAACTAACTAAGTAGACGAAAAACGAAACTAAAAAAAGAAGCATCCGATTTGAAGGAATCGTAGTCGAAGAGAAAGAAAAGGCGAACAAATCAAAAGAGAAAGAGAACAAAAGTAGGATCGTACGAAAAAGTAATAGACAACTGATTTTAAATTGTGCGTTTTAGATATTCATGCTTTATTGTGGCAAAGAAAATATGGAAATTTGAACGTCGACAAATGAAATGAAGTGTTTCAAGTACTTTCATGGTTTTTGAAGAGAAATGAAAGAAAATTACGATAACAAAGTTAATCATATCTTAAAATTTCCAAATAATATTCTCTTGCTTGAAAAACGTTTAAATCGGTTATTTCATATCATAGCTTGACTGTGACGTTGGAATATTTCAAAAAAAAAAAAAAAAATGATTTCATGATCGTTTATTTTAAGCACGGACGCCATGTGTGCAAACTCGGTCAACGGTTACATAGCCAATTCTGATGGGACCACGAAAAAGTTCACCTAAATCCAAGGTCAAATCATATTGAGACACATTTTATGTGGAAATATTTGTATAACCGATATTGCAGAAACAAAGCATTTTTTATACACTCAATAGCTTGGGATTATATCATCTGTGTTGATAAAAAGGAAAAAAATGTACAGTTTTATTTTGAATATTCAAATACGTAAGTTGAGTTACAAATAGCATCAACAACAAAAACAAAGAAAGAGTCTGAGATGCAACGAAAATAAAATGTCATCAACATTCAAAACGTAAGCACACTCAGTGATACACATACACACAGATAAAGTTCTCAATTCATTTCCAAATCTACTTGTTGATTATAATGTATACGTGTCTTCTTCTCACTCTTTTCTTCGACCGAAAATAACACAATTCTTACGTACATTAAAGTCAGAAAAAGTATTCGAAAAACAATCAAACTAAAACAATAAAAATGTGAAAAGTTTGGATAACATGCTGTCGATTGAGACTTTCTATGTCATAATAAACTCCGTCGCTGTTCCCAAGTGATTTTCTGAATCATAATACTGCTATGTTCTCTACTTCGTTCGGTTTTGTTTATCTTTGACTCTTTTCATTTATTTTTAGAATTTTTTGTCGAGAAAAAAAAAACGTTAAAGAACTGTTACATTTTTTTTTATTTGGGTGTATGGGTATGAAACGTTGGTGCGCCATAAAATGATTCATTCCAATGAATTTTCACAGCCTTTATTTTCAGAAAGTCTAGTTTATGATCACGAACGTAAAGATCTATTGAATATAGTAAATGATCCTTTCAATATTTCTTTCCTTTAAACAATGGAAATAAAGTAAGAATTGAGTGATTTTGTAATGCCACATTCTCTTTGTGCTGGATAATCGAGTTCCTTCTTATGACTACAAAAAATATTTAATTTTTGGAAGAATTTAAGGATTTTTTTTAGGGATTTTTGTCTGAAATTACAAAAATGGGTTTATAAAAATGCAACTCGATATTTGTTGCATTTTCGCAAATCGACTGTCAGAGACACATATTTTATCGATGAAAATCAACTTGACTTTGAACTTGCGTTTTTGATTAGTTACAAAACGAATTCTGCAATCACCAGTTACTTGATAAATTGTTTAATGCGCGATTCGTTTGAACTGCATATGAACTGCTGAAAATTTTTAAATAATCTCTTCAAAATTGTACAAATTTTGATTTGTTCTTATTATCTTTGTACTGCATAAAGTTCTATAAGCAAAAAAATAATATCGTTAAACATAGTGGGTGTAATTTACCCAACCCGGTAGGTAGGAAGAAAAATATCGGAAATTTATCAGGTTTTTATCCAACGCCTGAATAAATACCCAAATTGGGTATTTATAAAAAATGAAATGTGAACATTTTTAATAAATTTCAAATTGGCAGTAACTTTCCATATTGCAGTAAAAATATGGCAATTTCACAAACCTCTCGTTTGAGATTGACATTGAATTTAAAATATATATATAGGGCTATTTGACCCATAAGAAGTTCAGGGTAGTTAATCCAGACTTAGAATGCTCAAAAAATTGCCACATATTTATTTGACCAAACTTAGCATAGATTCGCAGACAGGGATTTGAGGAGCCAGATCCTCTCTGAGGTTCGGAAAATTCTTTCGATTTGCTAGGATTAGGACTACTAGATAAATGTTGTTTTGCAAGTCTGAAAATCAATGGAACTTATTGCTATAAATTGCCGTAAATACTCAATAAATATCCAATTTACCCCAAAACTGCCGGGTTTTTATATATTTTTTCCCGATTTTATTTTTCGAGAAAATTAGACATTACTAGTTATACATTATCGCGATATTTTCGTATTGATTTTGCGTCTTTTAAAGAACTTGTTGTTGCTTTAATTGTAAAGCCAAGTATAATTGACATTTATGTAAATTAGTGCATTTAGTGATACACGTTCTAGCGCTGCATCCATATTAACGAGTTTTGTGTCAATTATTAATTTCAGAACCCTTTATGTGCACAATAGATATGCCCAAAGAATGTTTATTGCGAAAAACGCTGAAAAATATAAAACTCACAAATATGAATAGAAATTGTCAAAGATTTTTTTTTTTTTTTTTTTTCAAAAAATATAAGCTTTGATTTTCCTCGTAATATCGAATATCGATAATGAAAAATTATTGTAGAAAAAGAGTAACAGGCTAATTAATTGACGAGAGCTAACTATCAAAAAGTTGCTGACAGTATAGTATAGTAGTTAGCTGTAGTCCTATAAGACATACATTTCAACCAACTTGTGGATAGCTAGCTACTAACGGTAGCAGCTGGGCAAATGATCTATAAACAGGTTTGAACACAAACGAAATGTAGGTAACGTTAAGTAACCAGACGAAAGACGTTAAGTTTCGTCATCGATTACGTTGCACGCTCGACACAAATATACACACATTGCTTTGCTCACTCACTCATTAACTCCCTCATTTTACCATATATTCGGATCACCTTGAAACTACCAAACCATTAAACCAGAATAAAAATAATTTTATTTCGATTTCAAAGGGCATTGGTATGTTTCGTCTGTGACACGTTTTCTATTTCATTTGATGAAAAAAAAAAAACAAGACATTTTACGGGATTTGGGTTTAACGGTTTCACAAATTTCCCAAGAATGAAAAAGGGTAATAGTTTCCAATTCATTGTAGTACTGTAAACATTCGAAAGTGGTAACTTGAGTAGCTGAAAACAAAGTACAAATATTTCTCAAATTTTATCAAATTACACAAAAATGTTCACTGTCTCGACGCAATATATTTCTGTCAAATCGTTTGGCTGAAGTGACCGACCGCTTCAGCCACCGTTCAAACTCATTCGAAATTCACGGTAGACCAATGTGAGACTTAACTTGCGTTGTACAAACAAAGAACCGCAGATAGCATGCACTATTGCAATAAACAGATAGACATATAATCTCATTCACATCTTTTTTATTTATACATTATACAAAAGTTGTACCGAACAAAGTAAGCAAATGTCAAACACATTTCTTGCATATTTTTTATAACGAATTAGTCAATTATTCAATCAAACACATTCTGATCATATTGATCTATAAAATATATAATTTAATCATTTAACACTCCGCTCGGTCGGCGCCAATGATAAAATAGAGGTTGTTCATAATGAATGAAACTAAAGTAGTTTACTATTTTTCAGAAGTATTTGATCCTTTTCGTCGTTGGTAACAGAAAACGATGAGGATAAGTTAATATTAACTTAAATATTGTTTACATTCACATAACAGGGTCACAATATTTTCAATTTCTTCTTATTATAAGAAGAAAATGAATAAATAACGGCCAAAGATGCAACTGAATGGGATATAGTGAAATCGTTTCCAGCAAAAAAAAATCAGAGAACGGCATCCTCTAACCAGTTGGTAAGCAATTTTTGCGAACTGGTGATCTTTTTTTCCTCGTCAATATTTGATACGCGGATGGATGTTTAAGCTAGATAGAATCGACTTTTGGAAAATTCTTTTTAATCAAACAGTTTGTTTTTTGCATTTATGCACAAGAACGACAATTGATGCAATACCATATAAAATGCTCAAGAACACACTATGAACATGCAATAAAATATCTGTTCACAAATAGAAATGTTCTATGAATGAACTAAACTTTTATTTTTGACACAGACTTGTAAAACAGACACAATTTCTGTAGCTTCTGTGCTCTTTACAAAACATATGTTTTGATTTTTTATTATGTATATTGAAATTAAGATCTTTGTATGATTTGGATAAACATACTTCCTCGGTGGATTTTTCATTTCCTATTTCAATATCCTGTTAAATAAAAACAAAATCGACGATAATGCCTACGCTGAAATGCCTAAAGTTATTAAATCATATTTAATAAGACAAAGCTGCTTCCGACTCAATGAAAATTGGAAAACTCATGTACAATAATTGTGTTGATGATCAAATAAAAAGTGATGATGAAATTTTATACAATCGTCTTTAAGGCCGTAGCCCACATGGTTACTTTTTGGAGTGGGATATAATTTTTAAGTTTCATTAATTTAGAAACAAAGTAGAAAATGCGCGAAATTTTTTAAAATGAAGTGTGTTTAGTTACAGTGAGCGAAATATGAGAAACTAACAATAATGAAAAAAAAAAGCAAGAAAATAACAAAAAAACATACATGTCTTTTGATTTCTCCTTGTGATCCAAAAATAACCATCGAATGACATATTCGATTCTGTACATCAGAAAGTCTTTGTGTATATGCTTGTTCAGAGTGAATGAATACTCAGCCAGTCGATCATTTCAACAAAAAATCTTTTAACGATAGTGTCTATAGACTATAGTTTGCGAAAAGTGAAATACGAGCGCACGAATAAATAACAATCATTTTAAAAGAATATGCGATAAAAAACTTTCGAAAAAACAAAAACAAAAAAATGGCCATGCAAATCATATATTTACTAGGGTTTTTACTTTTTCGACCATAGTTTGTATGTAATGCAATGTTTGTAATAACCTCACACATTTCAAATGCCCAGAATCTGTTTTTTAAGCCTTTTAACTTTCTTTCAAAAAAGTGGGAAAAATTACCCTTTGAGAGTTCAACCAGTTTGTTTTTCCTGTTTTGTTGTTTTGGAATGAGACTTTTATGAACGAGTGGTTGGATTTTGTTTTGTCGTCTCAGTGAATACATTGAAAAATATAAATAAAGGATGTTTACTCGGGTGATTACACAGCAAGACGTCGAATAGGAAAATAAATATGTGTTTCGGCAAATGTAGGCGTTCACGTTGAGAACATATTAGCATTGAATTAGTAAAAATATATTTTCAAAGAGACAAGACTACATTCACAGATATAAGTGGGAAAATCCAATCATCGTATGGTAACGCACAACCAGTATATCGATTGATCAATTTCGTATCAATGCAACATTTCTGAGTAGAGAGAACTATAACTCCAATAAATACCACAAAATCGAGGTGTAAATCTATCGCATGGATTAGTTCAAGCGGGATAGTTCCATCTGATGCTATTCTCTGTTTAAGATAAAGAAATTGTAAAGGACTTGGGCAACATCTCAAAGCAACAAGTTTTTCAACAGAAATTTAGAAAAATATTTCTCTAGAGCAACATGTTTACTATAGGAAAAATAAACAATGACTAATGCATGTTTATACTAGAGTGTTCTTTACATATGTGACAGAATCCCACACGTTTCGAGCGTCCTTACTTGAAATCTTCAAGATATAATGTCTCTATCTTGATATCACTTTACATTGAGTTTAGTTCCCAGTGCCATCTGTGGACTAATTTACAATATCGTTGAACTTATAGTAAAATTTGTTCACAGTGAAGTTTAATCGCGTATTCATAAAAATTCAGTAGCAATATGGACTTAGTGCCAATTGTCATTGTCTATTATGTTTATTTTTGGATTCGCTACAAAAAAACAAATGAAAAATGGGCGATTTCTCTCCTTTTTTCACCGACGATATTAATAAAGCTTTAGCAATAAAATCAACACATGATGTGGCTAAGCAGTTTGACGAATTAAGGGTTTATTACGACTCAAACTTGGTTAAACGCGCTGTGCTAACCATTCTTACCCATATTTTTATGAAAAATATTCATGAACTCACATCAAAGGCCACTGCAGCTATGAGTTTCGTTGAACGACTATGCTACAATGTAGTTGATATTGATATTTGGTCAATGGTTAAAAGAGTTAACCATCAGCAACAACCAATGAATAAATCATAGGCAATCCTTTTCAATCTGGCGCAAAGACGTTTTTTCATGTTGATTAAGAAAAAATAACTTAATTGCAAGTGTTAATAATCTTTTTCGGTATCCGTCAGCTCTATTTGTCGAGCAAGTATTGTATTATTTTGTCAAATTATTGAGCACGAATTTGAATATTATTTTTTCGATGGCTCTTCCCCTTGTGCACAACTCAATTTAAAAAAAAAAAACTTACATAACTTTAAAACAACATATTAATTAATTAATCAAAAATCCATTTTAATAATTTAGATGCAAGAAGCTGTTTAACTTGTGATAAAGTACTTGCCGAACTTGAAAAAATTGACGATGACACCGATTCGTTTGGTGTTGATTTTGTGAAAATAAACGACAAACGACTGGCCAAAGAGTATGGCATCAAAAAGTTCCCAGCACTTACATACTTCAGGTATTTATTTAATTAGTAGTCAATTAGTCTCGATCATTTCTATAAATTAGAGTTAAGTAGTGATGGAAAATTTTCGTTTAATATAAAATGACGCATGATTTTTTGTGTATAATTCAGTAATGTGTGGGAGTGGAGGTAGCGAGGGGTTATTATTATTCATTTATTCTGTATATTTTCTGATTTCGAAACACAATTTTTAATTTTTTAATTTACCGTTTATTAAATATCAAATTTAACGATATTATGTCCAAAAATTTATATAGATGCCGATTCTGAAAATTCTTCTCTTACTAAATTTAAATTTCTATATGCTATGTTGGAAGGCATAGTCCGACGTGTTTTCACATTTCTTTGGTTCACCTTCCATCGAATACGAATTCGACACAATTTTTCCTATTAATACATTGTAAATAGAAATATCGAGGCGTATAACTGCCATCCATAATGCGTCTCTCAAATGAATCTGAGCATTATTTTTGGGGGATGACTGCTGTTTTTCATTTTTGATTCGTTCATTCGTTGAATATTTTTTGTAATTTCTTTGATTGATTTTTTCAGAGAGAAGGAGCCAATTATCTATGATGGTGATCTCATGGATGAAGAGGGCGTTCTTGACTTTTTGACATCACTAGAAGCCATGGATCTTCCCGACCGTATTGAAGAAGTCAATGCAAAAATCTTGGCCAAGATCATCGAAGAAACTGACTACGTTGCTGTGCTATTTTGTAAGTTTTGTTTTCAATTACAATCCTATCTCTTCTTATTAAGGCTATTAAAAGAGCCAATCGCAACAGTGAGTAAGCGAATATGATTTCCGATATGATAATTAGTTTAGGATTTTTTTTTTGTTTGGTTTGTTTAATTAGAATTTTGTAGTTAGTTTTTTTCTTCTTCAAAATATTGGCACCAGACTATTAGTCAAAAGCTTGAAGATAATAAAAAATTATTGTCATTTCTTTCTTTATTTACTATATCACGATCTGCACATACACACACATTTATCAAATGATACAAACTTCGCGTAATGGGATACTTGAGAATTAAAAAAAAAAAACATAAAATAAGCACACACGCGTACAAATTTCAGAAAATCAATACTGTGCACATAATCCATCATCGACAGTGATATTCAATTTTGAATCAATGTGTTTTTTAGATTTTTAATTTAATGAAAATGAAATTGAAATAAACCGTACTTAGGTCCTGACCATAGCACTTGTGAAACACGAGGAAAAGCGATCACTGAAAGTAAGTTTGATAATTCTTTAATTACACAAAAATAGCAAAAAACGAAACATGCATCATTGTTTCACCATCTACTTTGCCGCTTATCCAAGTAAAATGGTAATCTAATTTTCAAAACCAAACTAAGCTGAAAAACCAAACCAATTTGCTACCCTTGAGCATCAATAAATCAATTGGTTAAACAAAAATAAATGGCATGATAAAAAATATTTTATCTCTCTCCTCCTATATGAATACAGTACGAGTTTTTCTAAGATAATTTATAAACATTAAAATTCTTATTTTAAATAAAATTTATTTTACTAAAACCGAATGAAGTAAATTCATCAATCCGTCGTTTGAAAAAAATTGAACGTGCTGAATTAATGTCTATTGATAGAATGAGTATGTTCTATTGTATAATCACCTATTTGTTTCTTTATCAGTTTTTTTTTCATCATTTAATAATCTGGACCCAAATAAAACAAAAAAAAAGCGCAAACATAAATGAACGCGCTAGATAGACAATATACTATACATAATACACCTTTTTAACACCTCTAAAATTGAAATAAGTTGAATCTCAGTGGGCATAATTGAAAATTGCAGAATGTAAAAAATCTCCAGGGGTTGGTTGGGTTGAGTTCCGAATCTTAATTTTATCCCACGTAAAACTCCGATTGAAGAACTATAGTTATTTACTGATTGGCTTTTGAATTTCAAAATAGATACTCAATTTCTTATTTTGCTTAAACTTAATAATTTGGAATAATTTCCTGCTAGAATTTTTTTTTTGAGTGCAATCTACTTATTCACCGAATTTTTATTAAATTAAAAAAAAAATCCAGAACAATACTCATTAGAGAGTACACTGGCTCTATGTATCCAATTGAATTTTTAGTTTAGTACAAGCACGTACGTTTTGCAGTGTTTTTGTTGTTGTTTTTCTTTCTTATCCTTACAAAAACTAGTTTGAAAATGTCAAAAATATCAAAGTGAATATTTTCTGCGACTCCAAATGGTACAATTTCCTACTTAAAACATTTAACCAACCCTTTTATTTAATGATTTCAAGCAAATAAATATATACACATGTAAAAACCATATTTTCTTTAACATAGAAGTCATTTGGATTTCGTTATTATTTCTGCACAAATGTTAATTGAATCTTATATCTCGTTTAAAAAACACACACACACTCACTCAAACTGGGCGCAACCAACCATTCCTCTTCATGTAGATAAACCAGAATGTAAACGATGCACAAAAGCTTTACAAGAGCTTGAAAATATCGATGATGAAGCTGATCAATTGGACATTGGTTTTGTTAAAATCCATGATGAATCACTGGCAAATGAATATAATCTTGGAGCATTGCCAGCATTGGTATACTATCGTCATCAAATACCGATATTGTATGAAGGTTGGGAAATGTTGATTGATTATTAAATCAAATCGATTGACACTCGGTATAATACATGATTTTCAATTTGTATATAACAGGAGAACTTTCGAAAGAAGAGGATGTTTTAGAATGGTTGATTGAGAACAAATCGACTGGAGACGATGAAGAAGTTATAGAAGATGTAACAGCCAAAACACTAAGCACATTAATTGGAAATGTGGATAACTTGGTTGTTTTGTTTTGTAAGTGTATGAATGTGAAAAAACCGGTGTGTCTCAAAATGAGATAATAGATTAGATATAGAATTCAATGTAACTAAACTAAAAAAGTAAATGAGAAAAACTTAACCTAGAGCTACAAAGCTTGAAGATTCTTCTGTCCCACAGATGTCAACGTACACAAACGGACGGAAATGAAAGTTTCATAATGTCCATCCGTGTCTGTTGACACCTCTAATCTGTCTTACGTCAAAATCACCGTTTAACAACACACCGCTTTGAACAATAAAAGCCACAAAAGTTGTAACGAAATTGAACGGAGGAGCTCTGACTCAATTTTGAGACACACTGCATATCAACGCATATACGGGCTTGAAGACATTTATCTTTTATAATTCTAGATGATCATGGAATTGATGATTCTATGACTGTGCTTGAAGAGCTTGAGAAAATTGATGACGATTGTGATAAGCATGGCATTCAATTTGTTAAAATTGATGATGATCGAACATCACGTGGTTATGGTATTGATAGTGTACCGGCTATCGTATTTTTTGAAAAACAAGTACCAAACATTTACAACGGTGACTTATTAAATGAAGAAGAAATATTGCAATGGCTTGTATCGCAATTAGAAAAGGACGAAATCGAAGATGTTACCGAAGAAATGCTCGATAGAATGGTTAAAGAAGGAAGGACATTAGCTGTACTTTTTTGTACGTACACCTTTTTATTGATACCATTTGGAATACCCACTAAATGCTTGCTTTTTCCAGATGATAATAATGATGATAAATCACAAAAAGTACTCGAGGAGCTGGAGAATATTGACGATGAATGCGATGCGCTTGGCGTTACTTTTGTTAAAATCGATAACATTGACGAAGCTAAAGAATATGGAATCGATGGTTTGCCATCGTTGTTGTACTTTGAAAAGGGCATTCCAACTGTTTACGAGGGGCGTCTTGAAGATGAGGAATCAGTGTTGAAATGGTTGGAACAACAAACTACATCGGATGAAATCGAAGACATTACCGACGAAATGTTGGATATTATTCTTGAAAAAATGCCCTACGTTGCCGTTTTATTTTGTAAGCTCATTTGTAAATTCAGTCTGTATTCTCTTTCATTGTTTCCATATCAGTGTTTATTCTGTCTTGTATTGTTCTTGTTGAACAAAATCCCAAATTCGGTTTGCATTTGGCACTAAATTGAGATAAATCAACACATCAAAAGTAAATTCAATTGATTATCCCATTTTTCGATCTTCACACCCCACTTTATTTGCATCTTTCTCTAGATTTTCTCCCCCCCCCCTCCAAATATTCCTTGTCGATATATTGTGTGTGCGTGTGCAAACTACTTTTTACCATATGTTCAATATCCAATGTTAGAAACCAATTAGTTTTAAGCACATTCAGGGAAATATTTTTGTTTTCAGGAATTATGTGTTTCTTTTAGTGTTAAGTGTTGTATTTATTCTATTTTTTATATTCTTTTTTTACTCTTGCAGCAAAGCACAAAAACAACAAAAATCTTTAAAATGATTTGAGTTGAAATTTGGATTGACAAATAAAATAATCATCAATTCGTGTAAATATTCTAATATATTTTGGTTCTACCGTTTTTTTTTCTCTCCTTTTGGCCACATAGATGACAAGGATCAGAAAAAATCACAAAAAGTTCTCGCTGAATTAGAAAACATTGATGATGAATGTGATCAAAACGATATCGCTTTTGTAAAGATCGACGATGACAAGGAAGCCGAAGAATGGGGCATTGACGAAATTCCAACAATCGTAAAAAATACTGAATATCAAGTGAATGAACGTTTTTAAATGACAAGAAATCATAATGTTTTTCAGGTATTTTATGAACGTGGCATTCCACACATCTATGAAGGTGATTTGATGAAGGAAGACGATCTACTTGGGTGGCTCATTCATCAAAAGCGTCATTCAGAAATCCCAGAAATCACCGATGAAATGAAAGACAAACTCGTTGAAAGCACCAAGCATTTGGCCGTTATCTTTTGTAAGAAATCACATTTATTTATTTATTAATGCGAATTTTAAAAATTAAGTTGCATTTTTCAGACGATAAAGACGATAAACAAGATATCCGTGTGCTTAACGAATTAGAAAATATTGATGATGAACTAGAAAAGGAAGGCATTGTTATTGTTCGTATTGACAATGCTGATGAAGCAAAAGAGTACGGCTTGGACCATTTGCCTGCTTTGATTTATTTTGAAGATAAAATTCCAGCTCTGTACGAAGGTGATTTGATGAATGAAGATGAAGTTTTGGAATGGCTAATTTTGCAAAAAGAAACTGCAACCATTGAAGAAGTTACTGACGAAATTTTAAAGGATTTAATTGATGATCATGAATACGTTGTTGCTTATTTTACTGGACCATGTGAGGAAGGCGACAAATGCGATAACATTTTGGGTAAATATTTTTTTAAACATGTTCAATAAATATCTTTAAAATTGAGTTATGAGTTAATTTATTCAATTGTCTCGATTCGAAGATGATTTGGAGAATATTGATGATGAACTTGACGAAGCGGGAATCATTTTTGTAACAACCGAAGACACCGTTATGGCAAAGAAATTGAATATCAAACTTTTCCCACAATTGGTCTTCTTCCGTAATCGTGACCCTTTATTCTTCAAGGGCGACCTTGAAGATGAGGATGAAGTGTTGTCGTGGCTCACTGATGAAAATACCCTTGAAATTCCTGGAAAAATCGAAGAAGTAAACAGCAAAATGTTGGAAAAAATCTTGGGCGAAAGTGATCATGTTGTGGTCTTTTTTTGTAAGTTTTTAAGCATAAAATGATGCAATAGTTATCAAATAGGAAACGATATGAACAGTTTATTTGTATAAAAAAGTGCCAAAGATCTATTCAGAGTACAAACAATTATATGTCAATTGGCGAAATTCAAACAACGCATCGCTTGATATTGAAATTTCACGAAGAAAAAAAATGTGTCTGACTGCCATATCTCGTCCATACCTTGTTTTTCATTGAATTGTGATTTATAATATAGTAAAAGAAATATTGGTAATCGATGCATGATATGAGTGCCGTCAATTGATATAGAATTTTGCGCATTTTAAGTCGTATTTCAATAATTAAACTATCACCAATCAATTTCAAATACCAATTTTGTTCAAATAGACAGAGAAGGAGACAAAAAATCTCAAAAGATTTTGAATGAATTGGAGAACATTGACGATGAGTGTGAAGAGAAAAGCATCGATTTTGTCAAAACTTCGGACGAAGGAATAGACAAAGAATACGATTTGGCTGAACTACCAGCTCTCGCATTCTATCGCAACAAATTCCGTACTATATATAAAGGTGACTTGATGAAGGAAGACGAAATCTTGGAATGGGTACTAGATTTTTTTTACTATTGCATTACTCATTGATTAATTTTAATTTCCATTATTTCCATTTTTCTTCTTATCATCTCTAGGTACTTGATTTGTATGAGTCAAATCCAGATGTTATTGAATCGGTCGACCGAAAAACCTTGCAAGTTCTAATTAACGACGTTGAACATTTAGCGGTATTTTTCTGTATGTATTCCATGAAATGAATAAATAAAGTATATAAAAATAAACATTTTAATGGTTTATGTGTAGATGATGAAAAATGTGCATCATGCCCAGGCATTTTGGAAGAACTTGAAACCATTGACGATGATACCGACGAACACGGAATTCAATTTGTCAAATCTAGCGATGTTAAACTCGCTCATGAAATTGGAATTTTCTCATTTCCTGCTTTAGTGTATTATGAAACCGGTGTTCCAATTATGTATGATGGTAAGTTTTTAAGTTAATATCTACATGTTGTGTATAGACACAGTACAAAGAAAATCTTCCGATACTATACGAAAAACAGCATGCAATAGAATTTCTATAGCAAAAATCGTATGAACCTGCGAACCATACTATTTTTCGCATAGCATCGTGATATTGATCTACTTCCGTCTACGTCATCGTGATATTGATCTCTATTCCATATTTGCAGGTAATCTTAAAAACGAAAAACGCGTTCTGCAGTGGCTAATTGATCAGAAAAGTAAGGACGTTCCATATTGCGTTTTGACACACTAATCTGTTAACGTTAAAATCTGTCGTTCTGACAAAGGAAAACTATCATAATAATTCGAAATAATTCATTTCTAAAATGTTTCTAATCACATTTAATAATTGATTATTCATATTGTTTTCATTGTTTTAAAAGCAAACACTGCTTCATCATTGGAATTCGATTTAAAAATTGATGTGATATTTGTATAAATAATTTCCAATGATACAACAATGTTTGTTTGAACGTAATTTATGCATGTATAATTAAATTTACATTTTTCTTGCTAAACAAAACAAGAAGAAAAAAAAGAATATTAATCGGAAAAGCAAAGCGTTTACAAATTTCACATTTAATCTCATGCTATGAAATAAACTCAAAGCAGGTGCTACGGATGCTGACGCTGATTCTGATAAAGTTGAAGATTGTGGTACTGATGCAAGAGCCAATCGAAATGTATTAAAACATATTCGTTCAGCAAAAAAAAATGTAAAAAACGGCATGAATCCACGAACGATAGGTAATAAATTCGGGTCTAACCCAACCTATCCAACTGCTAATAATGACGATCATTTTAGTAGCCATAGCAATGTCATCGATGACATAGTCGAAACGCAAACAGCACCACCATCGTCATCGACACAATCGAACATACATTTCTTGTGGATCTTACTAAAAGATCTACTAACAAGTCTTGTAAGCAATAATGGTGACAAAACCAATCACAATACCGAAAACAAATTCGAACTGAACACAAGTAATAGCGAATATGACTACCTTGATGATAGCAATTATCTTACCATCATCGATGGTGATCTTAAAGATGACGAATATTTTCAAACGCATAAATTACTTAAGCAAAAGCTTCTAGGTAATTTCCAATTGATTACAAAACAATTCAATCAAACAAATAAATCAATGCCCTCCCAAAACAAAAAAATAATACTAAGCCACACAGCCTCACACCAAAACCAAATAAAAACGCATTTGTTGTATTTATATCCTCACACTGAACTGAAAATCACATGAACGGAGTAATTGAAGATCGATAAACACAATAGACTTTGAAGTTTCGACCAAAAATTTGTCGCAAAGATAATTGAAAGAGGCACAATACATGTACAAACATCACACTGACGTAGTCAATATACACAGAAATGAACGATTATATGAAATCTGTGTTTGAATTATAAGATTCACCAATTATTCTTACCGCTTTTATTTACAACGAGACTCTGTGATTTCTGTGTATGCATTGTAAATCGGGAAATGTGCTATTGTTGTCAAATTTCGACTACTCATTATTCGTATTTTTGGTTCAGTTAAACACCATCAAACGTATCATAAAATATTTTGATTCCATATTCCGTCGCACTGATGCAACTTTTTTTGTTCGTAATGAAATCCACAATTATCATGTTTCTTAATCGAAAAAAAAAAGAATTTCTTTTACTTTCTTTGTGCGTACATCGGCCATCATAGATAGCCGCATAAATCAATTGCACATTTGTTACGCTCTATATCCTATGAGAATGAATATTTTGACAAAGCTGAATTTCATGAAAGGTATTTCAATAACGCCACTAATCCAAAAATATAGCTTTTATTACCACAGAAAATATACAGAAATTACATAATAAAGCTGACAAAATGTTTGACACAACATTTCGTTCAACATATACGAAGCTAGTTTATTAGTAAGAAATTAAAGATACACAACTATTCTTATGAGAAATATACATGGTCTTATCGAATTCTGCTCAAATATTTGTCGCATTTATTGGAGCCAGAGGAACAAAAACGTTATTCAAATTCCGCTTTTCAAAGAGGACTATGTTTTTCTTTAAACATACCAATGCATCATACCTATTTCGCATAATAGATCGCAAACATTTAAACATCCATATACATCGGTCCGTAGATTATTTTGAAAACCAAACAATTAACAAATGAAAAATGTTCATTTTATTAAAGTAAATCACAAAAGGCTTATAACATATCCCATGTCAAAATATCTTGACTGACCGACCGACTGGCTGACTTTTATTTGTGTTAGATTTTTTGAATTATGTTTTTAAATTGCGTTAATCTTCTTCTGTTAAAATAAAACTTTGAAAAACGTTCACAAAATTTCAGACAATGAGCATAAAAAATATTTGGTAATTAATTCAAATTTCGTAAAATCTACCGAATTTCGTAGATATTTAAAAGCAGAATATTCATACGATTAGAAAACAATTTAAATAATTGTGCAGATTTCGTTGGAGTCGTTAATGTCTACAGTTTTAAATCCAATATTTATAATTAAATGTAAAGTCAAATCATACAACAAGAAAACAAACTCTACTCAAATTTCAAATTTTGTATATTATTTGAGCTTATTTCTGGTATTTGATCGTTGTCAATAACTCTTTATTATATAACTACTACAATGGAATCTTTAATGATTTACCCCAGCAAACGACCAATAAACACACAATACAAGATTAAGTCTAAACAGTTTTAATTTAATTTAATTTGTGTGTTTGAATTGTGAATAATGAAATATAAAACACACATAAAAATGTAATAGAGAGAGAGAGAGAGAGAGAGAGACAGACAGAACTTAAAAATTGGAAAGAGAATTAACATCTACATAGGATTAACAATTGGGGCTTTTTTCGACACACTATGCCACTGCTGTATCAATTGATTTTGTCCAATTTTCAAGTGATCTATCTCTGAAAAATGCATTACGTATCTGTTGTTAGCATCAAAAACATTTTGTCAGTAATATTATTTTACTTTTAAATTGAACAGAAAATTATTTTTTTTTGTTTTATTCCGTTTTGTTTTTAAGGCTTTTGACACCGCTTCTCTTTTAAATAATTTCATGATTCTACTAAATGGTCACCAATTTTGGTAGTGAACAACATTTTTATTCACCGATGTTGATACAATATTAATAATTGCAAATAAATAGTTGTATTGAAAATAATACTCAACTTATAAGTAAATGTATTGTTTTGAGAAGAAGTAAAAAAACCGTTAAAAAAGACTGTATTGATACAATCATAATATGCCAAAAAAAATTAAATTGAATTTTTCTTTTGTTTTTGCGTTTGCAAATGTTACTGTTTCTAAGAGAACGAACACTACAAAATCGTTAACCTTTTTTTCATTCGTTATTTTATATCTCTCTAATCAAATTTAATAAAAAAAAAACAACAACAACCAAATTTGTTTATTTTCCAAAGACTATGGCCTTATTTGCAAACAAATCTGACAAAATGTTTTTGTATGTATATCACAGATGACGAATGTTTCTATGTTGGAATGGCTCATCCAGCGCAATCATCACGTAAAGGAAATAATTATGTACCGAACGATTATCGACCATTTCAATGCTGTCCAACGAAATTGGAGCGTCAAACACGCGTACCAAAAATGTCGGCGCAAAAGCTAAGCCATCAGAAGGATACCGATGACAAGTCACGTAAATCACAATTCGAATTTAGTTCTTCGAAAGCAAGAACATCAGAGAGTAGTGGCCGTAAAAGTGACAGTAAATTGAAAACTGAATCCGAATCGAAATATAGCGGCGGTCCAAATTCAGCCACATCATCATCATCAACATCATCAAAAAAGTCGAGCAATAGCAAAAAATCGAATGATGATAATATCTTGCCCGTGAAGGAGCTTAAAAAAGCTTCCCAAAAAGCCAAAGAGACCAACAAAGCAAAACCAGGTCAGAAGGGTTTGTTAGGTATCGCTAAAATTGTTAATTGGTTTTAAAACGACAACAAAATCCAAAGCATTAGATTTGCACAAATAATAATTGTTTGAAACAAATGAAAAAAAAAATCAATATCACATACACACACCAGCGTTATTTTTTTTATTTTTTTTTTTTCGACATTTAAATCCGTTCCGATGAGTATATTCATTGCTTCTACACACGTATGGTAAGCGTTCCATAATTTAAAAAGAATTCAAACGATAAAAACCATTCAAAATCTCAAGAAAAACTAGTCAAATGACACTTGCCGATCCAGTAACGTAGATTTCTAATTTAGTAATCTGGCTCAGAAGGTGTCAATTGTCGTAAAATTTCGTTACAACATCTAACCATAAGAAAATGGCATCGCTTACCATATGTGCTTCTACATCATTTATTTATCAAAATCAAACCGTTTTTGATTGGTCAATCTTTTCCCCATGATGTTGTTTGTAAATTTTCTCTTGGTTGCGCTTTTATTCAAAAGTTTTCACACATGTATATCATGCATATCATATATCATTATCGAATTCAAATCATTTTTCTAAGAGTTCCATTCGGCAAATCCTGCATGCACCGCTCATCCAGTTTTTCGTCATTTTACTTTTTCGATTTTGTATATAAAAAAGTCGTTGCAAAATCATCAACCCCAACATTATCAGCAAAGAAATCAAGAACAATTGATCGACAACAAAACCAATTCATTTTTTATTGATGTTATAGGATCTAACTTAGACAATCTATTACGAGCTGTACGTAGTCAAATAAAGGTTCTGTTTGATGCTGATTTCCTATAATAATGTCGATTTTCTATGTGCGCCCTATATCATAACTGTCTATGAACTAGATATATATACATAAATATAGTTGAAAGAGGAAAATTAAAATAATAAAAATCTGTCAAAGTACACAAAAATATATGTTATGCCAATCAAGTCAGTCAATTCACAGTCAATAAATTCATGCATACTTTTAACATTTTTTAATTATAATATACAATTCAACTTCTATAAACACAACAAGTTTTATAATTTTGAGAACAGAACAATCAATTTAAAAAAAATGCACCAATCAATTGTTTTTGCATACATATAAAACAAGATATGTACAAATAATCACTTCATTTTTTTTTCATCTGTTTAATCCAAATTTTTCACGAAAAGAATGATTATGGACCGAATAAAATTAATTTCGAATGGAAAGCATTTCTTTTTAAACTGGTGGATACTGCAGGTTTCACAATTTTTATTTTTGATTATACTCTTTTTAAGTCCAAATACATGTCTGGTGCCGTTTAAAAGATTACGCTGTTGCAATGTTTTTTTTTTTAATCTTCTCGATGAGTTTGAATTTATTTATTTATTTATTTTCATGTGTTTGTGATATTTTTAAAATTATATACATATGGAAAATAAAACTAAAAAAAATAAATTTAAACCAAAGAAATAAAATCGTAAATGACGACAAAATGTTCAAATAAGTGTTGCCAAGTCTACTTAACGGGTCCACCAGTGTAATGCAACAATATACCTCCTTTTATCTTTAAATGTGAACTATAAAGTAAGTGGAATTGTAGAGATCGTGTGTAAAAGTATCATTGGAATCTTGAAATCAATTGGCTATTATTATGGATGAAAGCAATCATTATACACCAAGGGACAAATCAGTACTAGATTAAATTCTTCGATCACCCAATTTAGTTGAATTCAGTTCAATCCCAAGAAAAAACGGTTTGACTTGCAACTGATTTTTTGGATTTGAATAGAGTTGAGTCTACTACTGCTTCGCTCCTTATACACGGACATCGTTGTAAAAGACTTGGACTGATTTTTCTTTGTTGAAAAAAGAAGAAAAATAAATGCGAATGAACTATACGATTTTTTTTTATTTAGTTGTGTAAAAATAAAAAGACTTTATTAAAACAAAACGCGAATTACTTTAAAACTCTAAACTCAATCAAATTATCAAAATTGTACAATTTCGAACAAATCATGGTGTGGATTTTTAAATTTAAATCAGATTGTTAAAGTTTGTTTTTAAGAAAAACGTGGATCAACAAATAAATGTTTTGATTTGATTTTGTCACAAAAAACAACAACACAGATTTACTTAATCGAACGATCATTAAATTATTTAAATGAATTTTCAAAGTCAAACGAAAATTTGAAGCATCAATTTGGAGTTGGTTTCAATATTGCTGCTTATCAACTTCAATTAATTAGAAGAAGAAATTAATGCATAGTGTATATTTGCATTAGTGGTTCTTAATTTTGAAATATTTAACACCGATTTGATAAGCTTTGAGGTACATGACACGAGGATCTCAAGCTACCTCCGGTGCCAAACGTCAAATAATACATTTTGATCAAGTTTAGATGCACGATTTAATGTTCATCAGACTCGAGGCGGAAATCACTCTTAGTCTAAGTGAGAAAAACGATCTTTAAGACAAATTTCTTCTCGAGTTTTTTTAGAATAACATTTCTTCATTTTGTTTTATGCCACTTGATGCTAAGAACAATTCAAAGTCACATTCTAACTAACTAACTTAAAACTTTGTAAAAAAAAATATGGAATTACGATTGAAATTAGCGGCTGCAGGGCGTAAGTAAGCGTTAGAATTGAGTTTCGTTGGAAATAATATAATTACAGATTGAGTTTGTTGTTATTTTTGTTTATATGTTGTATTCTAGGAAATTTGGAAAATGAAACCTATGTTTTAGACTGGATGATTGAACAAAAGACTGACGAAAGTATTGAAGAAATCGATCGTCCAACATTATTTGAATACATAGGTTCGAAAGATTTCTTAGCTGTTGTATTCTGTAAGTTACACTCATCTACAAAGAAATATTCCGAGATTCGTATTGCACAATTTTTATGAAATGTTCCTTATAATATTGTAAAGATGATCCAGAAGATTCGGACGCTCGCCGAATTTTGCGCCATATTGAGCTAATTGATGACGAAGCTTCAGAATATGGTATTACAATAGTTAAAACAACCGATAAATTAATGGCGAAAAAATATGGATATAGAAAATTACCCGGTTTAACATACTTCAGAAAGGGTAAGAAAAGAAGTCCCGGTGGTAAAACTCTTTGATAAACTTTACAACTAACAAATTTAGGCAAAAATATCAATTATGATGGTGACATTGACGATGAGGAGGAAGTCCTTGATTGGCTTACGTTACCAGACAACATGGAAATGACGGATCATATCGAAAAAGTTAATCGCAAAATGTTTCAAAAGATTCGACAGACATCCGATTATTTGGCAGTTTTTTTTTGTAAATTTCATTTGCATTTTTAAATTTGAATCAATATTTATACAATAAATAATCGCATTTCAGATAGTGATGATTGTAAACAATGTCCCCGAGTATTGGCAGAGATTGAGCATATTGATGATGAAGCTGATGGTGCGGGTATTAATTTTGTTAAGATTGACGACAAAACAATGGCAAAAGAATTTGGTGTTTTTGCACTTCCGGCTATTCTATTTTTCCGTCAAAATTCAAAAGAGCCAGTCATTTATGCTGGTTAGTTTTATATGGAATACAAATTACAATTGCATTCAATTGATTGTCATTTTCCACACAGGTGACTTATATGAAGAAGATCAAATCTTAAATTGGCTAATGACACAAAAAGATCCAGGTGGTGATGTGATCGAAGATTTGGAGGGACAACGTCTTATCGATTTAATCGAACAATCGGGTTCAATGGCAGTTTACTTCTGTGAGTTGTTTTATTCTAAAGTATTTTTTTTTAAGAGAACACAGAGAAAAACGTCACTGCATTGAATTATATGGTTTCAAATGAATTGAAGAATGCCTTAGTATTTTACAGATAATAGATTACAGCTATTTGTACAACAAATAGCCGATTCACGTTTATATCGTGTGATAAAATACGAAAGGATTTAATACTATTTCATAAAATTCAAAACAGTCTTTACCGATGTTTTTCTGTGTGCAAAGATTCCAAACCACGGGCCATGTAATTAAAATATAATTCATTTATGTTTCCAAATAAATCCGAAAACCATGAAATAGAATAAGACTATATTATATATTTCTTTCAATACCTACCTGATTCAAGTGAAAAATACCTCGCCCATTTTTAATTTCATACTTCATTTATATATGCTGGAATTATTTATTGATACGATAAAAAAAATTATATCCGGGAACAAAACTTACTTTTCAAACTTGATCTAAGAGAATAAAACTCACTATTAAAACAGGGAATAAAACTCACTGCGATATGTGTAGTTCTAAAGCAATGCGAAAAGCGCGCTTGAAAAAGGATAAAGAGACGACACAGGCTACTAACCAACCACCAAGTGATAACCCTGATGAATTGGCCGCGGCTTCAGCAACACCGCTACCAACACCAACCCAACATCATCATGGCGCACACGATGAGGGTATTTCGATATGGTGGTTAAATCCATACAAACAAAAATAGTATTCCTGAGCCAAAAATGATCTTTGTAAATTGTTCACTCAACTCAACAAAACAAAAAAAAATTCATTATGAGATTTATTGCGATTTTTTGCAAATTGCACGCACATTTAACTGAATGTGTCCCAATGCAATACTTCAAATGAATGCCAATTTTACCTTTCCAATTGACGCATTACATGTTTTTAAAGTATTAACCATCTAATAGTGTATGTATTAGATATTAGTTTCATAATGAGTAGCATATATTCAGTTCCTTTTAGTACCCCGTGAAAAAAAAAAAAAAACAAATACTCAATCATTTGTTCAATTATGTAATTATAATTACTATTGGTGATTGAATTCCTGGGATATTTTGAAACACAGACTTTGAATGCCGTTTTCTGTTAGTATTGGATTTGAACATAGAATTTTCCATTAGAGCATAGAACATAGAATTTTCCGTTTACATATCATATTATTTTGATATAAAAACTGTACATTTCAAGAAACTCCAACAATTTTCAATAGAGAAGTCTATATAATTGTTTTTTTTTTTTTAAATATATACTAAAACCATTCGAATTGATTCATTTTATTCATTTTTATTCGTTTTCATAATAAAATAGATAGTGACGATTGTGAACAATGCACAAAAACTTTGGAAGAGCTGGAAAACATTGACGATGATTGCGATCGGCATGGCATCACCTTTGTCAAAACAAAAGATTTCTCCGTTGCCGAACAATTTGGCGTTCATGATTTTCCTGCGCTAGTGTATTTTGAAAGCAGCATCCCAAATGTATTCGAAGGTGAATAGTATTTAATTCGTAAATAAAATAAACGAATAGACGAATTTAACTTTTGAAAAACATTAAATTCAGGTCAATTGAATGAAGAAGAGGAGGTTTTACAGTGGCTCATTACACAGAAAACTGAAGATCGTATAGAACTCATAACTAGACAAATGCTTGAATCGATGGTTGCAGACACGCAATATTTAGCAGTATATTTCTGTAAGTTGGTAATGAGAGAGGATATGTCTAAAAAAATGTGAGAAAAAAAACGAATATGTGTTGAAACATTTTTTATATTCCGAAGTATATTATTTTTATTTTTCCCTGGTTGGTTTTCATTTCTCCCGAACTTGCATTAAATGATTGTTCATAATCACCATTTCCGATGCCAAAAATCAAAACAATTATAATTATTAGCACCTGAACGTTATCAAAATCAACCATCTTATTGCCGAAGTCTTTGTTCACCGCTTCCAAAAAAATTAAAAATAAAGGACTCAAAGCATCCATTATTGCTAGAGTATTTGGAACGTAAAAAGCAAATGGTAGAGAAGCAAGGTACAAAACATATAAAATGGATGGAAGAAGTCAATGTTGCTATTATTAAAACGATTTTCATTCGAATGAAACCGCATAACGCTTGGTTTGTGTACGTTTTTTTTCCACTAACAATCCAAAGAGGCATCGGACATGAAATCTACTGTAAGGCAACCAGGTTTTTCATGGATTGGTTTCAATACATAGACGGGAATCAATAGAGAAAATTGATGAAATTTTTGAAAATAATAATCTAATTTTGCTTATAAATCGGGTAAAAGTTGGGACAAAGTAGCGAACAGGACAATTAAAAGTAAAATCGAATTTGATGTTTTTGTTTTTTATTCAAATATGTAAAAAGAATTTCGAATTTCGTCATTTATTTGTTTCCGATTTTGTCAACGGTATTTTTTGGAGACTATTCGTTGGTATTCAAACAATGGTGAATGACTCTAATGGACACACTTTCAGCGAATGCGTTCTTTAAAATAATCTAACTTTAAAAACTTTATCGCATTGAAATTCACATAGAATTAAGAAGTTATTTTGAACGGATCATTTTAATCACACACTTTGTTGAAATGTGTTACACACATTAAAAAAGATAATCGAATTTTTCTAGCAATAAAATATTGCAGAAATGATTTACGTTGAAGGCATACTATAAGTTCTGACCCAAAAATAGGACATGGCCGAAAATCGATTCTATCTAGTGAAAAAGTCGATTACGAGAGTTATAAGGAATTTGACATGAAACCAATCTATGTTTAAGCCTATTCAAAATACAGTGGGAAAATCTTATCTTTCGACACTCTCTGGGAGCTGACTCCTCCAACCATATGAACTCAAATAACATATTTACATTTCGCTATGGAGTGGTAAAAATTAAAATTTTAACATTTGAATTGAAAAAAAAAATGAAAAATACATTTTCGAACCACCATAATTATTGGTAATATCGACAATTTTCTAATTCAAGCATTGATCCAACTTTTGAAAAAATACCTTAGATTCAAATGCCAACCACCATAAGAAAAAAATAGCGTTTTTGAACAGCTTTATTACAATTCAAAGTGAAGAGATAAACGAATATCTATTTATTTGAGTTTTAACCACAAAACATGTTTTCGAATACAAAAAGCAATAAATATTGATGAGAATATTGTTTGGCCATCGTGAGACAACATTTGAATCAAATGCTTCGACGGCATATAGGTGAAATCATATGTTTGTGCAGGTTGGCCTCCAAAGAGAGTCAAGGGGCGAAGCAGTACTAGATTCAATTCTTTCAATTCCATTCAATTCCATTTACTTCAGCCAATTTTAGGTATTACAAGGAGATCTCTCGTAAAAAATGACAAAAAAATAAATAGTTTTTTTTCTTCAATTCTCAAATTTTGGTCAATTTTTTGTATCGCCTGGTTCAATCAGAATAAAAAAAATCACATTCTTTATCATCCAAATCACACTTGGCGAATAATACACGCAAGTGTCATTTTGCTGCTATATGGCGACTTTATATGAAACTCTCCTTGTAATACCTAAAATTTGCTGAAGTAAATGAGTTAAAACACACGGACTAGAATTTAATTTGGAATTGAATAGAATTCAGTGGAATTGAATAGAATTGATAGAATTGAATCTAGTACTGCTCCGCCTCTTGAAGAGAGTAGAAAGAACGGATTGACAATGTATCTTCGGAGAAACTACTTGACCTCTAAAGCGTGATAATAATCCCAACATTCATCCTACTTCATATTAAAGAAATTTTATAAGTTTAGTACGCAATCGGCATGAATTTTTTGCATTGATTCTGGAGTATGGAAGCCAGATGGGTAATATTACTTAAGAATATTGTGTCCGAATCTACGGTTGATTGATTAAATTTTACGAAAAAATTATTTGAAACGAATCAATACGGTTATTAAATAACATAAAATCATAAAAAGTCAATACACGCTTGCTTCATTTTAAACGAAATCTGCAGTCCATTTGGCTTTTGTTTAATTAATTCAATTCGGTGAAACTTTGGTGAAAATTATTTCTGCGAATATCTTTTTCTCGCTTTTCTGTCTAGTTGCTCAATCAATTAACTTACTAGAATATAATATATGAATTTCAAACAATTATAGAAAAATGTTGATGGAATACAATTGTTTTTGTTATTTTTTTTTTATTTTATCACAGATAAAATAAATTGTAATATTTGTGATCAAATTCTTGAGGGTCTTGAGTTGATTGATGATGAGTGCGATGTGTTCGGTATTCACATGGTTAAGATTCAGGATCCACAACTAGCAAAACGATACTCGATCAAAACGTTTCCAGCGCTCGTATACTTCCGAAATGGAAATCCATTGCTTTTCGAAGGTGACATGCAAAATGAGCAATCAGTACTCGAGTGGCTTATTGATGATGATAATCGTGAATTGGCTGACGAAATAGAAGAAGTAAATGAACGCATGTTGGAGCGTTTATTGGACGAATCATCTTTATTGGTTGTATTTTTCTGTAAGTTTTTTTTTCGATAAAATGACCATCATATTATTGTTATAAATTGCATTTGGTAAAATGATTTAGATGATGAGGATTGTGCCGAATGCGAAGAAATTCTCGAAGAACTTGAACAAATCGACGGGGAAGCCGATATGTTTGGAATTGATTTCGTGAAAATTGCCAGTCATGAAGCAGCCCAAAAATATGAAGTTAACAGCATTCCTGCTCTTGTTTATTTCCGGTGAGCTATTCCCTTCCCCTTATATATCCGGCTAGGCCTAGCTACTCCTTATATAAACATCGACATGAATACTAATTTAATATTATAGGAAGCAAGTTCCGATGTTATATGATGGTGACTTACATCAGCATGATCGTATTTTAACTTGGCTTACCTCACAGGACGTGTTCGAAATAAAAAATGAAATCGAAGAAGTCAACCGAAAAATGTTGGACAAATTGCTAGAAGAAAATGAATTTTTGGCGGTTTATTTCTGTAATATTCAATTATAAAACAAATTTACAACAATGATCGTGAATGAATCAGCGGTTCATTTTAATTTAGATGAAGCCGATCATCCCGACAGTACACTGGTTCTTGAAAAGCTGGAAAATATCGATAGTGAAACAGACAATTTGGATATAACTTTTGTGAAAATGTCCGATTCAAGATATGCACGAAAGTGGGGCGTCACAAAACTACCTGCAATTGTTTACTTTAGGAAACGATTCCCAAGCATATATAGAGGTGAATGCAATACATTATGAAATTATTGATATGAAATTGAACTGAATCAAAGACATAATCTAAAAATGTAATTTTACCTCAAATCATTTCAGGAGATTTATTATCAGAAGACGAGGTTCTTGAATGGTTGCGAAAAAATCGTTTTCGTCAACCAGAACTAAATATTTTTATGTATGCTTTAATTGCCATATCAGTTGCATTCGTATTGTATACAGCATTCTTGCTGCAATGTTTTAAACCGCCTCCCACACCACCGCCAGTCAACGTGAAACAGCAGTAGATTGAAAGATCAACACAACAATAATATAATTTTATTTATGTTTATTTCTTAAATATCAAAAGATTTTGGTAATAAATTCTACCCAAGGAACAATTTGTAATGCAAATTCACCCATTACTAGGTACTAATTAATGGTCAAATTTGAGGCCGGATTTAAATGTGATTTCAGTCATTTTCACGGTTTCCATAGCGTAACACTCAGATGTGAATACACGGAAAAGAGGAACGACAGTCATTAGTATCAATTAATTATATATGGAAATATCTTTTTTTAAATTAAAAACTTTACTAACCTACGGGCTCCTTCCCTCCGTTCTACTTCCACTGTGCTGTTACTCAACGCTAACTAATTGTTATAACATTTGTTTTATATAATTTTTGGATTCAATGCTGCTGTTTGTCAGTTGATATTGTTTTCATTCGGTGCATTCTCTTCAGGTCTTTTCATCCGACGAAGTACTGTGTAATTTGAAGCCAAAACTTTAAACATTGAATAGACTCTCCCTTGAGCATTATGCATTTTGTAGCATCAATATCGCGGTGCCAAACAACTGACTGTGTTGCATCATTATTTGATTTCTGGACGTTGCGACATGTTATAGCCAACCACGTTTTTTCATTCGGAACGATGCCAATAACGTATTTCTTGCCTACAAGATTGACCAAGGTTGGTCAGCGGATTTCGGAATTTGGGCGCGACATTTAGCTTGTTTGCCAAATACAAGACTCTCATATCCAATCGCATGCTCTTCAATTTATAATCGCATAACGGTACAACTGCTTATTTGCAGTGGCGATTGTCACTCGCACATACGCTCGTTCAGTCTTAAGTTCCATTTTAGACACTCTCTCTCATTTTATTTCATTTTATATGGCTTGGGGTTTAGAAAAAAATGGGAGAGAGCCCACTGATTACATAAATAGAATACTTTACTGCCAATAAATTGTACGATACAATGGTGTGTGCGGAAACGAAAAATTATGGTTTGGTTAGCAAGAAACTGATCTTTTGCATTTTCATGTGTGAATTTCGGGAATTTGGACTTTTCGGGATATTGTATTCCGGAAAAATGTCCGGTCGCCCCACTGGACCACAGTGCTTCAAGGAGAAATCAAGGAATGCGTTATATGTAGCTCATATGATAATGAAATGAATTGTCAGAATTTTTTCACTACCTTCATCAAAGTATTTTTAGAAGGGTCACACAGATTTAATAATTATTTCATAGTTATTATACGAAATATATTATGCAGTAATTTTTACAGGACACAGTTATTAGGTAAGAGATATAATTAAAAAAAGATATAATTAAATGGCTAACTTATCATTCACAACCACTGAGAAACTTATCGAGTATATTGCATAACCATTTTTGTACATGATTCGAAATCTCGCGCTAATTTGCACCACAACAGGTTTTGGTGAGTTCTATAAAAGCGCTATTGTATTTGTGAACTGAACAAAAGAACTTATTTAAAAAAATCGTGTTTGCCCTCTACACGAAATTTGAAGATTAACTGAAGGAAATATTTGTTATTTTCATAAAATCCAATGATTTTCCTTTTTACATATTTCCAAATCAACAAATAATTTCATGAACAATAGATGTCGCCATAAACGTCCTGTTCAGACTTTTTGACACAATAAACGTCAACCCAAACAGGGAAATTTCCGATTTTGTTTTGATTTGCTTTTATATATCTATATATATAATTATAGTTAGTTTTTTTTGTGCTTAATATGTTAAGCATATTATTGAATAATGTGTCCCCGTTTCATTAGAATCGAACTATAAAGCACAACATCTATACACGGCAAATCAATAAAAATGGATAAATAATATTATTGGTCTGTTATCTATGAATGCAGCTTTTCAGTGCGAATTGATAAAAGTGAGTAAAATAAGACAGTGGAATTCCACCATGCAATACATGGTTTACTGAAGTACATGGGAAAATGGCGTAAAAAAATCAGCCGTAATCAAATTGATTTTCTTATACATAATTACATCGAAGAAATAGAAACGTAAAAACGTAAATAATATTGCATGTGGCATTTTAAGGTAATCAAACATTTCGCATTGTTCGGATATTTTCAATTCATTGTCATAGTCTTACGAGCACAATGGCCGACATTTAGTTTTTTGTTGCTACTCTGCAACCAAATAATTCGAAACAAGGTTCACATGTATCGCAAACTTGATCATCTGTCTTAAACGTAAACACATTCGTTCTTTTTCAGAAGTTACAATGCAATATCACCAATACATATCTTCATCAATCTATTTCACACACTCACAACAATCACATTATCATCAGAGTTGACGCAATAGCTTAATACACTCAACACAAAATATCTTTGAAAGTACCAAACAATGCAACTGCCAAATCAGTCTTTTTTGAACAAACGGTATGTACGAACATTAGTACAACTTGTGTGGGTTGTATTTACGCAATTTTTTGACAAAAAAAATATTTATACCATTTCTTCATCGGAAATCAATTTTGTCCAAACAAAACAAAAAAATTTAAAATAAAATTTGGTATGATATAATTATAATTAACAAATTGTTAAAGACATTGGTTTTGTTTTTGTATTAAATGCCTCTATAATAGATACATTTGCGTAAGGAATATAGTAATTCGAAGAAAAGTGCCTGTTTTATCTACTTATGTATTTAGTTTGTTGTCGCTTTGACCGAGTTCTGAAAATAAGTGTTGCCCATAAATTTGTATAATCCAAAAATAAATCGATTGGTGTAAAAAAGAAAATTGATGAGTTATTCACAATTTTTCATCATGCCGAACGAAAATATTTCGTTATTACACATACACATTTTTACATGGATCTCGTGTAGTTTTTTCATATTGTTTCGTATTCGCGAAGAGTACGTTTGCTTTGGCTTACGAAGTTTGAAGTAATTTTTACGATTAAATTATTTATCAAACTAGACTTTGAAATTGTGCATTTGTTTTATTTTCGGAACGTGAAGTAAAACGGAAGAACACATTTAATTGAATTTGAAGTTTCAAGTTCGGAAATGTCAAGCAATCTTACTTTCTCTTTTATTTTGGCATATCAGTGTGATACGGTTTGTTTCTGAAAATATTAGATCAATATTGATATCTTAAGTTTTTCTGACACCCATGCTCAAATGTAATTTGTAAAATGTTTAGTACTTTCATTGAATAAATATCATTACACCGTTGCCAATAAGTAGCAATTTTGAATTTATGGGATTTATTCTCATTTCGTACGTCTACGAAAATGTTTGTCTTTCACTTGCTTATCGTCACATCCAAAGTAAATATTTCGTCTTATTTCCTTTGTAATTCAACAAAAGCAATAATATTCTTCATAACGAGTAATACATAAACAATACGCTTTATGAAATAATATGTCGATACTTACTGTGATACTGTGTTACTGAAACTTTAATTTAATTACCAATTAATCGGTTACCATGACCAAAAAATTTATTGAACGAAAACCATTTTTATGCCGACCGAACCGGACCGAACTTAATAAGTTCATTATTAATGCTGGAAAAGTTTAAATGAAAAAACCACAGCAGTTCTGCCAATCAACTGTCAATAATAATAGAACATTGGCCATCAATTTCATAGTTTCAAATTCATGGTCCACGTGCAGATGATACATAATAGTGAACCATGCAGTAAAGAAATGCTTACTTTTAAGCGTCAAATATTTCAGGGTTACCAATTTATTTCAAGTTTAAGTAACTATTTTCTATATTGATGAATCGATATACAACAGAAAAAATGAATGATTAGATAATAAAGATTCAACACTATTGTCGACTTATACGAATGTTGCATTTGCGAGCGAATGTTTCATACATATTTTGCGAATGGAAGCAAATAATCACGCATACAAACTAAACACAGGAATGTTTATGTACAAATCACGACAATATGTCGCATCTCGCAAACAGTATGCGGCATTCGCGAATGGCTTCGAATGAAATATACGAATTTTCATAGATGTTGATGCGAATGAATATACTTAGGAAAAGTTTATATTTTGCGAATAAACTGCAATTCACGAATAGTAGAAAGCCCCTAGCCGAATGTTTATCAGCGTGTGCTAAACTTATTATACATAATTTTTCATATCAAAATTATATGGTCAAAATGTACGAATCATATTTCTAGTGTCACATTTAAAAAAAAAAATGTTCCCCGATTAAAAGTTTATAAAATTTTATTTTTGAACAATTAATTTTTAGGAAAAATATTTGCTTTTTGTAAAGTTTATGGTATTATGATTTCCATAAAATCACCAACAAAACTAAGGAGAAGTAAGCCATAAATGTAAAATTATGAAATTGGATGAAATCGTCGCTTGGTAACTATAATATTATTGATAATTTCAATCTTATTTTCGAATCTTATTTTGTTTTCCATTATCATATTGGCTAGGTATCAAAAGAAACTCGGTACATATGACAAGCAACCATGGGAGCAGACAGTTGAACATCGTATCCTTAGTGGATTTGTAAACACTCCATCAAAAAATGTTGCCTCTCGAACGGAATACATTGATGTCGATTTAGTTAGAGGTTTGATTAATACATGTCTGGTTTACGCAATTTCGAACATGTATTTATATATATTTATTTTGGTTAATTTATGTGCAGGATCAACATTTCCAAAAGCGAAACCAAAGCAAAGTCTTTTGACTGTGTTACAATTGGCTGTTATTCGTTACCTGTTGTTGCCATTGTATGCAAAATGGTGGGTTGCACAAACATCATCGAAAATTTTTGCATTTTTATTTTTTCTGTATGTGATGCAAATGTTGAATTGGGCCATTTATAGTTATAACGTGAATAAATCTCAAAGTAAATTGAATGAATCGAATACATACAATGCAAATAATCAAGATGATAGGATATCAACAAATGATTTTATTTCGATTACTGATTTATTTGTACCAATGACACTAAGTTTAGTACTGAGTTTGATTCATTCACAAATAGTTGCCACATCATCGACCAATTTATCAAAGTCCGATAAATTGAATAAAAACCCATTTCAACATAATCGCAAGAAACGTGAACGCAAAAAACGTCGAAAATCAACGCGATCACGGTCCACAGTAAACACATTGGAAACAAAACTTAGGACCAGCAATTTGTTTGACGAAAAAGTTGAAATCGAGTCTAATGTACAAATTACTTGTCGATTGAGTGACGAACAACAACAACAACAACAAGAAGAAGGCGAAGAGCAGCCACAACATCAACAGAATGAGGAAAATTGTATACGAAAGCGAAACGTCAATTGGTGTTCACCAATTAAAAGCAATTCATCCGAGCCCACGAACAGAAATGTTAAAAATGATGCAGTCGATAATCGAAATGGTAACGAACCCATCGGTGCCGATGATGATGGATTTGAAAGTCTGAATGGAAAAAGTTCAAGCGGCGAAGAAATGTTCGCACTGAATAATATTAATCAAGCAATCGGATTGAATGCAGAAGTTGAATCAACGACTCATACGAATAGTGCCTATCTAATTGGATCATTTGATGAAAATGACGCAAACCACAACAGTAATAACGAGCAAATTAATAGAATTTCTGAAAATGTATGTAAATGTTTTGTATTCGTCAAAATCAAATTTAAGTTTGAGTATGTTTTTTATTTTTAACGCCAGAATTGTGATAAAACAAATATGCGTAATTTATTAACATTAAAACGTACACGAATTACGCCTAAAATTATCTTAAAACGGTACACAAGTGATGAGGAAGAGGATGAGGCTGATGGATCACAACCATCATCGCCCAACTTGGCTCACAAACCAATTGGAGAAGGCTCATCAGCAGCAGAATGGATTGGCATCACAACAAATAGCGAAGAATGCAGCTATAGTTCAGCAGATAATTCTGAATCACAATTAGAATATTCAGAAAATAATAGTTGCGAATGGAATGATTATGTAATGCCAACGGTTATTTTGAATTCGAATTGTGCCATCGGCGATCGAAGTAATTATAATATTGAAAATAATTGTCAATAGATAAAATTTGCATAAAAAAAAATTCAATTTCCATTCCAGTAAACTGTACAACTTGGGACGGTCGAGAGGTGAAAAAAGCAGAAATGTCCGTGCTTGATATATCATCGGCAATCATAAAACGAGTTGAAGCGATTCCAGAAACTTGTGATTATATTTACATAGGACTTGTATTCAGCCTAGTCTTATCGTTAGTTCCGGCCTTTTGTCGTATTTGTGAAGTGTGTAATGTTAAACCAAACAATTTTCATTTTATTTGAATTCATGATCAATTTGACATTTTTTTAGGCTGTAATAAATTCATCTGAATCGAATGAAATCAACTTTATGGATATGCCAGCATTACTTTTGGACAAAACCTTATTTTCATATGAAGAAACATTGCATCTGGCATTTGAGGCGGCAACATGGCAGAAAACTGTGCTGTTTATTGATTTTCTTCTACGGTTTTTCCTGACATTTTTGTTCTTTTTTTTATTGGCTGTAGCCGAACGTACATTTAAACAGAGATTTTTATATGCAAAACTTTTCTCACATTTGACGTCATCGCGACGTGCACGAAAATCAGAACTGCCACATTTCCGATTGAATAAAGTTCGGAATATTAAGACTTGGTTAAGTGTTCGATCTTATCTCAAGGTTTGTATAAGATTTCGACTTAAATATCACAATTTAAATGTCTACCAACGATGTTATGTTTTATTTTCAGAGACGGGGACCACAGCGCTCCGTCGATGTTATTGTGTCAGGAGCATTTATTTTGACACTACTTTTGTTAGGATACTTGAGCGTTCAATGGTTAAAAGATTCGGTACAGCTACAATCCCAACATACACTTGAAGCACTTATTTGGTCGTGTGCATTGGGTTGTTTTCTAACACGATTCATGACACTCGGTACGAAAATTAATCGAAAATACCGTAGCATTTCAGTATTGATCACTGAACAAATAAATTTGTATTTGCAAATTGAACAAAAACCACACAACAAAGACGAACTTATGGTCTCGAATAGTGTTTTAAAATTAGCTGCAGATTTACTTAAGGTAAACATAAATTTTGAGTTATTGATGACTCAAAATGACAAAAACAAACAATTTATTTCAAAGTACATGTTTTTTTATTGTTTATTTATTTTCAGGAATTGGAATCACCATTTAAAATTAGCGGTCTTAGTGCAAATCCATATTTATATACAACAATCAAAGTAGTCATACTGTCCGCATTGAGTGGTGTTCTAAGTGAAATGTTAGGATTTAAATTAAAACTACATAAAATAAAAATTAAATAAAATATATTTTTTAGAAGAAATTTAGAACATATGAACGCTAATACAATTAATAGACTTTAATTCGAATGTTCCTCTTATCTTGCAGTTTCACCATTAGTAAATATAGGTATAGAATATTATGATATTTAAAATATTGGTAGTAAAATTATCATAAGAGAATGAAAGGATATTTCTAGATCCAGTCACGTGAGTGCATCGTGCCGATTAAAATTTGAAAATGTCAAAGACCAATTGTATTCTTTTTATTCAAAAGCTGCAAAGATATATAATGTATGGCCAAATTTTTCAATCGAAAATTTGCAATCGATGCACGAAGTCGAATTAAATGAAGAGAAAAATAATAGCAAACAATGATTGTCTTTTTATTTGTGGAAAGAATTATGAGGTGAACAAAACAGGTTCTTCGTCGACTTGAAATAAAATTAATGCGCTCAATGAACTGAGCAACTCAGTCATCTGTGGATGTTTGATTTGAATATCTTGAATATTTCAAAATATTCATATGTGACTGTTTTTAATTTTTCATAATTGTAGGATATAAAACCCTGTTTTAAGGAAAAAGAAACGAATTTTTTCAAAAAATATCGCATAATTCAGATGGGAAGCTATGAAGAAGGCTTTGTTGACGCAAATGCATAGATAAATCTTCTAACGGACGTAAGAAGAAAATGCAGTGTTGGAATGTGTAACAGAATGGTTTTAAATAAACAATGATATTTATAAACTCAAAACCGTCCAGTCGAATCCATTCCTTACGAAAAGGCACGTTATCCTTTTCTATAGCCATAGTCAATATATTGCAAGCAGAACGGGACTGTTTTCAAACTCAACCGAAAAACAAATTTAAAAACAGAGAATTTTCACTTCTTAATTGTTGTTTTTGCCACAATACAATGTATGCATTGGAACGACAAAGAAAGACGAATTCAGTGTATCGTAATTGTATGTAGTAGAGTACGATTTTATGTGAAACAAATGAAAAAGACGTAAAACATCGAACGATTTCGTGCGAATGTGATGCAAAAATAAGGCGACTGAAAGAGACGAATCTATATCACTTCATTTGATGCATATCTGTTTATATACGTATACAAAAACACCATACGTGTTCACCATCGCACGTATGGATGGAATGCGAATGGCCTGATATTTAATTTTTCTCTCTTTTTTGTCCGTTTCTAACAGTAATTACTATGTGTGTGTGTGTCTGTTTGTATGCTTGTATTCGGTCTATCAACGAGTAATATGGAGAGCCCGCATCGATATACCATTTAGTCTACAACGAAATGTCATGAATGCTGTCTGTATAAAACGGTTAGTGTGATACTCGTATTTATATCAGTTTCGTATTTTGTTGTTAATAATTGTTGTGTTGTTTCAAAACTATATTTAGTGTTTCGATTTCCAATTTATATTGCATGTGTTATGTTTCAATTTTCATTTCCTTTACATGAACAAATAGTAAAAAATCATGTATATCAATTGAAAAAAAAAAATAATATTTGAAAAGAATTTTTCTTTTGCTCAGAGTGCACATTTCGATTATATTATTTTGAATATCATTTTATTTATAACATATGCGATGGCAAGTCGAAATTTCGCGTATATATATTATTTATATAAATGTGTGAGCGAAAAAGTCATTTACAAAACATTAAACAAACGAATAGTCGAACCAATCGATCTTTGTAATTAAGATCTGTTTATTAATGAGCATTTTCAAAAATCAGTTAGCCTCAGATTAGACACAAAACAAACATGTCATTAATGACGAAATTTTTATGCACTTTTTTATCATTTTATTTTTGATTTTTGTTTCAGGATGAATCGGATATGAGCTGAGAAATTGCTTCGACTCACGTTCAATTTATTTGATAAAATATCTTTTCTCTTCTTTGACAAATTTTGGAGAGAAAGAGTAGAACTAGTGAAAAATATAAGAAAAAGAAAGAAAGTTAAGTGTGAATGACAACATCAATTTTTGCGTCGTTTGTTGTGTTTATTTTTGGTTGAAAGAAAAAGTGAATAAATAAGAAAAAATAACTGGAATTAAAAAAAAAACAGTCAAAATGTTCGAAATACCTAAAGTAGGTGATGAGGATAGCCAATATGATGGAAGCCGTGCTTTTGTTTGGCTTGCTGATATATGTGGATTATCAGTTGACCTTGTAAGTATTCACTGGCCGGGAAAGAGATCCTTCCAAGCATGCTTTTGGATTTACCAAAGGAAAATTCGTATTAAAATGTCCTATTAATCACCCAAAACTTGCATATATAATAAACATACGAATAGGGATAAACAATGAATGCAAATGTATATAAATATAATATAATCAAGCATGCAGTCAAGTGGAAATATTAAAAGTGAATCATAATCTACTTAAACACTTATTTCGAATTCGCCGAATGGATGAGTATAAAAATGAGTAAATAACTCCTTGTTTTGACACGCTCAAAGCACAATACATGTTCAATATGTTAAATTACGTCGTCCTGAATTCAGAACCTTTGGGCCAAATTCAAAATTGTGAAATTGTTGTTTTTATTTGCATATACATGTTCTTGATGTATATTTCATTCACCTTAAAAGCATTTCTTGTTTTGAATATTCATAAAATACGTTATATCGTTGAACTTATAAATGTTGCAAAACGCGCAAATTTAAATATAAATCAAAAATTTTATGCAATTACCCACCATTGGTTTTCATGAGGTGAATTTTATTCAAACCCAAAGCAAAATAAAAACACTTTGATAGAACTTATTTCCAGAGGCAACATTTTAATGCATTCATCGGACACTAATCAAATTCTACTACTCTCACTTTAAATATATCCGGTGACAATCGGGTAATCGCCAAGTGCTTGATCACAAAGGTTGAATATTGATCAGTTTTATGAATTCTCAATGATTTACCGGTTTTCAATATGATACGAAAAGTTAACTTTGTTTACAAAAATTTGCTTTAGTTTTTATTAGTTTTTTTTTTTTTGGGTGTGTGAATAGACCAATGGGGAACTTTTGTGTTAGAGCAAAACAAATGACTTCCACACCCTTTTTTCCACTGCGAACCACCATACGCACACATATACTAGGTTCTCGCCGAAAATGCGTAATATTCCACTTTTATCAATTTTTTTCAATTTCGTGGTCTATTTCCGTCAATTATCTTATGGATAGAGAAAATGATTCATCAATAATATAAGGCACAAAGTTGACAATGAAATAGATCAGACCTTCACAATATGCAAAATCTTTTGCGTATCTATGATGTCATTCGAGTTTGAGTGTGTCTGTATGACAATCCAAGGGGGAATACACCAATCAAATTATCACATTTTTTAAATCGTTTTGAAGTAATGCGAGTAAATTGGAAATATTTCAAATAATTTCAAATCACCACAGCTTGTGTAACCATTTTCATTGAATGCATGCGCGCCGAATGATTTGTTGACCTTTTTTACTTTTTTGAAAAAGTAAATATTGACATGGTTTGTAATATCTTAAAATTTGTACTATGTATAAATCTTAAATATCCATAATATAGTACAGAAATAGACGTTAAATGATGACATTTAGACTATTTAATTTAATTTAATGCGCGATTGTTGTGCACTTTCAATCATATTATTTTTAAATATAATACAACATTTAAAAATCGAACGCTTTCCTAAGAAAATAAATATCAAGTTTTAGTTTATAAATTGCAAAGACGCATCGGCTCACATAGCTGGACTTGTTAATCTCGTTTGGATTTCAATTGAATTCAATGATCAATCTTTGTTGCTTAAAGAACGTCAAAATATGTTAAAGGAGAAAAGAGAGAAAGTGTGTACAAAATTGAACCTTGTTCTTAAAAGAGTTACACTCAAAAAGTTGTGTATAAAATATGAATGCATTTCAAAAAAGGATGAAAAAAATTCCGAAAAAATCGACGTAAGAAATTATGGTGAAATTTTCACTCATGGTAGTTTTAAATGCAAAATTGTCCATTGGGAATCAAATCGAACCAAGAATGAACTTCTTTAAATCGAAATTATCGAGAATTTGCGGTGTTATCATATAGTGGGTTTGACTTGTTCACCTTGTCATTGAAGGTGATCTTTCCTGTTGTCAGTTATGTTAGAGTAAGCATGCAATCAATGAGATTAAAGCATGTGTCGTGTGTATTGCCTGATACAATTATTGTTTAGCGCTTTTTTTTTTTGCTAAATTTGCAGTAAAAAAACAATTTGGCAAAAGTTTTGTCGTCTTAATACACTCAATTTTTGCGTTATCGCCATTCAATTTCGTAAGCACGAGTTCATTAAATGTTAAAATACTTTGATAAGTAGTGGCCACAGCCCAGCAACATGATGATCGATGCTTGTAATTTTTCCTAATTTGCGAATAAATCTAAACTACTTGCATCAGCCACAATAAATTGTATTATAAAAAATATAATATGAATCCCTATTATCATCAATTGATAAAAAATTAATTTCTTTGAAGACTCATTTTTTGGTAACATACAGTAAAACGACTATAATTTTATGTTAAATTACTGTAATTTTATGTTTTTACTAAAATGAGCAAGGCTGTTTATTTAAAATAAACAAAGAGATGATGTGATATGAGTTAGTCGGGATCCATAGCTTGTATCGAAATGATCCTATATGATTTACATTAAAGATTTGCGCACTAATTTAGTGCACTATAAGTGATATCGATCCATTGGGGGAAAAACGTGGCATTAGGCAAGCATGACGAATTTCAAATGCGACGCGTTGAAATTATTACGTTCTTGTGAACTAAATAATTTTGTTCGCAATAAGTTTTACAGTATAAATTCTTTGCGAAAAAAAATCGTCTCAATAATTGATATATGTTCGAAAGATTCTAGCACATGAAATTCAACAGATTACGACATCAACCTTGTTGAAGGTCATGTGATTGGTCGTCTTAGTGGAGATAGTTCCGTATCGCGCTATCTACACTCGAACACAAATTTTGGGTTGTTCACTGTTCAATCACCTGACCATTCACGCACTCATTCAATTCTATAATTAGACTTTTACAATAATGTGACTTATTCGTTTTTCATTGATTATATTATGTTTCTTTAACGTTTTTAATGACCGTACTCAATTCCCTACTGATATAAGCTATACGAGTTCAAAGAAACGACAAGTAAAAATCAGTTCGAGATTCAAGTGCATCAAATTCTTACACAATGTCTGTTGTGAATTTTGCTAAAAATAAAAGGTCGAAACTTTTCTTTCTTTTGTCGACGTAAATGCTTTTCAATGTTAAAATGTACGAAAAAGTACATTTTGGTTGAAAATACTACGATTCCTCTGTAATAATTCCAAAAAAAATATGAAAATTCATGTCACACTAAGGCGATAGATCACCTGTCATCGAAAAAGATTATCGGTAACAATGTTGATGGGTTTCGATAACGCTTTTTGGTGCCACACATTTTGGCAAAAACATGAATTTCTGGTTTTTAAGTTGATTTTTGAAATTCATCTCCTTCATCTCGTTTCTTATGTTTTACATTGTCAATAGATACCTATTCGTCGAATTACCTACGTGTGCTTTCTTATGAAAATATTTACTCATAAGTTTGATATTTTAATATCCGATTAGAAATCCCGCAAATTATCGTATATGCAATATTTATTCTTTTTATTCTTTCAAATGTGCAGATAAACTTCCTCGTATGTCAAATTTTGGCGCTTTTCTTTGCATCGTTCTTCCGTTCATATTTGCATACATCGAAAGTAACAACTAACATTCGACATGCATTTGGACTCACATTGGGCTTATATTTTGGTTACTTTTGCTTTGGACAACAAGCGATTCACATCATCGGTCTTCCAGCTGCTTGTTATATTATAATTCGTACACAAAATCCACAAATTATACAACGGTAAATGTTGCTAATTTTTTTTTATTCAATAATATATGACCTGCTAAAATGCAAAATATAATTCTACATTTTTCAGCTTGGTGATGCTAGTATCATTGATCTATTTGTCGATGGTACATTTACATCGTGTATATTTTGACTATGGTTCATATACATTGGATATAACCGGTCCACTGATGGTTATTACACAGAAAGTAACACTGTTAACATTCAGCATTCATGACGGCATTGCACGCAATGAACATGAATTAAGCAAATCACAAAAGTTTCATGCAATCAGTACATTACCGACAACGCTCGAGTACTTCTCTTATGTTTTACATTTTCAAGGTTTAATGGCTGGACCATTGGTATTTTATAAAGATTATATTGATTTCATCGAAGGAACGAACTTTTTAAAACACACCAATGTCAATGTAAGTATTTTATTTGAATTTGCATTTTTTTTTTCATCGAAGGAATGGATCAGGAATTGTAGAGTAATGGAAAACTTTCGTTCTACTTTTAGTCAAAATTCGACAAAGTTGATAGTAAAATTATTGTTGAACCATCACCAACAAAAGCTGTCGTTAAAAAGGTCATCGGAAGTGCTATCTGTGCATATATTTTCATGAATTGGATTACCGTCTATCCAATAAAAAGACTCAACGGTAAGCGACAGAAACTATATACAATTTTCCGGACTATTTTCCTTTTTTGACGCCATATAGTAAACATTTTTTTCTTTTGCTTTTCATTCATTTTGCTGGAAATTCAGAGGATGAATTTATAGAAAACACATCATTTTTTTACAAAATGTGGTATATGATGATGGCCACAACAACTATTCGTTTTAAATATTATCACGCGTGGCTTTTGGCTGATGCTATATGCAACAATTCTGGTTTAGGCTTTAATGGGTACGAATAATACAATTTATATAAATCGGCAGATTCAATCTAAAAACGCAGATTCTATAGCAATGCAATAATTTGTTTCGTGATCATTTAGTCGGTTGAGCATAGCTCCTGGCGATCCAAGGGGTGGATAATGTCGACATTTTTCGAAATTGTAAATGAGTAATTTGGTCTCTTGTACTTAAACGGGGTGGTGTGTTAGGTGAGAGAATTTGACACCGAAAGATTTTTCTCTCGGCCAAAAACCCGAAATCGGAAGATATTCTCCCACCAAATTAAATTCAAGACCTAAAAAAAAAAAACAAAAAAGTTCTTCTTTTTTGGATTGACGCAAATTTTCCCTATTCGTAAAGGGGTAATTCCAAAATCCGTTCTCCCAGGGGGTAGTCTCTGGTCAGAAGCTATGCGGTCGAGTTGTGATATCTGCATTTTTGGGTTGCAATCCAATTTCATTATAAAATTAGTCATAGTTATTGATGTTCAAATCATGATTTGTACTCATCCCGAAATAACTATAAAAAAAAACATTAAAAAGTAAAGACCACATAAGAAATCTTGAATGAAACTTTCGAAAAATTTAAGTTGCGATACCATTCAACGATGAATCTCTGTTGTATAAAATCTTATCGGTCCATCATATATCGGTATGAGGTCATAAAATTGACAGCAAAAGGTAATTTCAATAAGTTTTCATTTAAGATTTCTTTTTTATGTATGTGGTCGCCTTATTTTTTGATGAGTTTTATACCTATTTTTAAGTATGTGTAAGTCTTTACATTTTTAATTATTTTTACTTTCTTATTCGATCAATGAATTTGATTTCTTGTTTTTTAATATGTCATATTCTAGGTTCGAAAAGGACGGAAATCCAAAGTGGGATCTCATATCAAATATAAACGTGATTTCGTTTGAGGTAATTTTGTACGAATTTTCAGCTTGATCAGATATCTTAGCATTAGAATGCCTAAAATAATTATTTTCTTTTTTTTTGTGTTCAAAGTTGGCAACAAATATACGTGATGCAATTGGAAATTGGAATATGGGCACCAATCAATGGTTACGTATGATTGTTTACGAACGCGTCCCAAAAAAATATGGAACTATGCTAACATTCGGCTTAAGTGCGTTATGGCATGGATTCTACCCAGGCTATTATATCACCTTCATATCTGGTGCACTCATTGTTAATGCAGCTAGAACAGTAAATTATTTACAATTTCGCAACAATATATTTTCATTACAACTTCTATATTTCGTTATTGTAGGCGAGAAAATTATTCCGACATCGGTTTCAGTACAGCGAATCTTCGCGTATATTTTATGATATTTTAACGGTTATCACAACAAGAATAGTCATGGGTATTTTCATATTATCAAAAATTATTATTTCCAATATTAATCAATAACTTAACTAAAATGTTCATTCTTTTCTTTAGGTTATCTTACATTTCCATTTATTTTACTTGAATTTAAGGTATTTACAAATTTGAACATTCTTAAGCGTAAAAAGTAACTCATCCTTATTTCATTTATATTTTCTTTAGGCCAGTCTTCGTTTGTACCTGAATATATTTATGTGCCTTCACATAATTGGCTTTATCACGTTATACGTGTTGCCGCGATTCTTTAGTGGTGAAAAACGTTCACCACAATCACAAAAAACCAATTCTGTACCAATATCAACTACAGACTCATTGGTCTCAGGATCAGTAAGGCCGGCTAATAAAGATGATAAAATCAAAATCGCACAATCAAATAATGCGCACAACTATGAGCAAATCGTTGATGATTTAGCAAATAACAGTAACCAATGTGATATTAACATAAAATTTATTACTGATAATAATTTAGAAACTAATGTATCCAATAATGTTGGTACGACTGGTGTAACCAATAGTGGTGGTATGGCTGTTAAGGCTGTTAATGAGGATACAATTTGTAGTAATAGTTTAAGTAATGACACATACGACTATCGGCAACAAACTTCCACTGATCAACATCTATCGAAGAAAATCCGAGAGCGTATTGATAGTGAAACGAGAAATATTGAAGAGTTTATTGATAAAACAGTAACGGGTATAGTTGAGCTTAGAGATGATTTGATGCGGGTAAATGAGAGCGAAATGTATGCGACAAAGCAAGAATATGGAAGTGGCATAGCTGGGACGGATACTGATGGCCTTCGCAAACGTAATTTATCTGAAGGTAAAACTGAATTGACATTTATTTATAATAATTTTTAAATGTGTGCGAGATGAGTTTATTTTAATTTTGTATAATTTCGATTGATTAATTTTCAACATTTTCTTTTGTGATGCTTTCCAGGTAAAAACGAAGTCGAAATTTTTCTGCGTAAAGAGATCAACAATGCTAACGTTTTACCAGCCGTTTTGAGCAATGGCCATGAATGAACATTTGAAAATTGAAGAAAAAGAGAAAGAGCAGTGACTAGATATTTTTCAAGAATAGGAACAAAAATCAAAAAAATTAAAAAAAAAAACAAAGCAAACAAACAAAACACAAACTAATGTACAATATTTTTCAATCAAATTATTTTATACTAGCGAAGCGATGTTTTTTTTTATAGTTATTTTAGGAGGAAAAATAACATCAAAAATCAAGACTAACTCAACGTTTCTTCCTTATATTTTTCGCTTAAGAAATGTAACTATCTACTTTCTTTTAATTTTATACTATTTGAAAATTTATAAGAAGTTTTTCCAAAGGAATTTGATTTAAAATGACTTAAACTTAATATTATTCTTAATGTTGTTACAGCAAAAAAAAAATATATTTACTACAAACACAAAATAGTTTTTTTTTTTACTTTTAACTTATACATGCTTAATATAACGATTAGCTCCCGTTATTATACAAAATTAAACGGAAAAAATCTAGTTTTTAAAAATACATTACTGAAGATTTCTTCAGATTCAAATGGATGATGTTTTGATAATCGAATTTTCCGAATCAATTTCAAATCGTTTGCAAATAGCTATTTGCATAAGAATCTTTAACGCGGTTCCTCTAAGTGCCATCTGTTGTAAAATTTTATAAAGCTGTAAGTAAAATGATCAAAGCATATTGCGGCACATTTTTCAAATCATGTACAATTTTACGTTATCTCGGGAAAAATTCACGTTTTTTTCCGAATGTAAAAAATCACATCATATATATTTCTTTTTATTTGGCTATGTAAACACTTTTTTTACGATTCCATCCGCATTTTAAATTGTCATCCTTAATGAAAAATATCTCAATGCACTTGACTGGGAAAGAGTACAAAATTTGTACTTAAGAAACATTCTAAATTGTATGTTGCTATTTTTAAGAAATAAAGTATGTTTGACAGTCAGAAAACGTCAATGAATGCACGATGTTTGTAATCTGAAAATAGAACAAACTCTTTAAATTGGTCAATATTTATTTTTTGTTTATGTTTTGCGTTGATTGTTTTTCGTTGGATTGGACATAATTATTTTTTCATTTTATGAAAAAATATTTAAAAAGGTAAGCCATTCAAATTATAAACAATTATGTATGTTGTTCGTAAGACAATTGTTGTTGTTTTTATAGTAGCTGTGTATGCCTTTTGTTGTACGATGAATTCAAATTTTCCGGAAAGCATTAAGATGGAAACAACAGATGAATGGCAAACACATTTTGAAAACGGCGATGTAAATTTTGATGTGAATTTTGATTCAGGGCATATGTTTTCTGAAACATTGGAAGGTGATCCAGATGAAAGTGAAATAATTTGCATTTATATGGATATTCAGTTGCCAATTGAAACGTTGAAAGTCCTACTACAAGAAAAAACAAAGAAAAACTTGACCAACTATGAGGTGTGGCTGCAAAATGTGCAAATGCTTGAGCCATTCAAAACACTCGTGGATCAATGTGTTAAAGGCGAAGGTTTAGTGCAAGTAAATGCACAAATTTTGGATGGTCCCAAACGCATAAATATTGCTGATGTTGTCAAACCAACAGAAGAGGTAGTAAATGCTATGAAAAATGAACAAGGCATCGGTCTCGACTCAGATGTTGTTATGAACGATATTGAACATGGAACAAATAGCAATGATTCGTCGGATGGTAATTATTTTTAACTAAAATGCATGAAATCCAGTAACATTAATTTATACTAAAATGTTTTACTTCATGATATCACAATGAGTCGAAAATTAAATTTGACGCTAAGCTCTTTACACAAAACACTCACAGGAGATAACGGTGATGTGGTAATGTACAATTAAACAATATGATATGACATTGTTGTTGTTACCACGTGTTTTGTATATAAATCACCGTTAGCTCCTGTGAGTGTTTTGTGTAAAGAGCTATGTACTAACCAATGTCGACACCAACGTTTCAGTCGTGATGCTGATGATGGGACACAGAGAATGTATTCAAGTAAGAGAATTTAATTTTCGACTCATTGTGATATCACATTAAAATAAAACATTTCATTTATTTTTAACTTCCTTCATTTCGTCGTTTACTTCATTCTTTTTTTTTTTAATTCATCTTTCAATTTGTTTAAAGCCATCACCGTGTCAAGTGGCAATGCAGCCGTACGTTCGATTGACGAAGATGAAGAGACAAATCATGAATTTGTAAATTGGGTAGTCGATAAACTATTTTTAGTAGTGAAAAAACATCAGAACATTCCAGATGATCCAAAAAATTGGACAGAAGACCATGTTCAAATCTGGTTGAAATGGGCCATAAATCAATTTGGTTTACGTTTGCAAGAAAACGAATGGCATTTAACCGGCAAAGAATTGTGTGAATTGTCATTACAAGACTTTCAGAAGAAAATTCCACGAGATCCGGGCAATAAATTTTGGACACACTTGGAATTACTTCGAAAATGTCAGTTCATTGCTATTCCTGGTGATCCAAAATCCACTAACGAAGATTGTGATGAGATCATCAACAATGAACATGTACGCGAGAAAAATGCAATTTTCAAAAAAAATCCACGTTTTATTGGAAAAACGAAAGTTATCGGTTCGACTGACACGTTGAACGTGGAGACCGTTTTGCCATCAAATCAAGGTAACCGAACCGGAAACAATGGACAGATTCAGTTGTGGTAAGATATATTATTTACCAAGTATGAAAAACTAAGAAAAAAGTTACTAACATTTATCAAAAATCATTTAGGCAATTTTTATTGGAGATTTTAAATGATAAAGAACATCGAAATATTATTCAGTGGCACGGAAATCAGGGTGAATTCAAACTTGTTGAGCCAGATCGAGTGGCCGCGCTATGGGGAAATCGAAAAAATAAACCGACAATGAATTACGAAAAATTATCACGAGCCTTGCGCTATTACTATGATGGTAAATAAGAATTCACAAAAATTAACTCGAAATATATTAATTCAATTGTAATTTGTAGGTGACATGATTTCTAAAGTTAGCGGGAAACGATTTGTCTATAAGTTCATTTGCGATCTTAAGCAGTTGACCGGCTATAGCGCACAACAACTCTCCGATCTCGTCAATGGTGTTCCAAGGCAGCCGCGGCCAAGACGATTTCCTGAATCTTCTTCATCTCTTTAGAAATAAAAAAAAACTCCTTTTTATTATCAATTATCATTAACATCTTATTGCCTTTGTTGAGGTTTATTCATTCTTTAGTTTTTACTTATAATGGTAATTTGACTTTAATTCAGACCTAGGAAAAATATGAATAAATCCCTGAACTTTTTATTCATTCAATCGATTGTGTTTGGTTTCTGTAATGGCTTTCTGGTTGTCAAATAGCAAATTTTATCCCAAACACACGGATGTGAATTGGAGAATAAAATGCGATATAACTTCGGGAGGATTTCCCGAAATATGTCATGACCAATAATTTTGAAGTACTGACGAAGCAAATTATGAAACATATAATGCATTTTTGATGTGGCTCCATTTTTATTAAAGTCAAATATTTCTTTAATTTTAACACAAATTTTGCATTTGATACTTAATAGACACTTGATTTTGATCAGGATAGTTGATGAATAACTGAAACTTATCGTTTACATAGTGTATTTAAGCGATTTTGGATATTCGCTTGCGTGTCTGCTTGTGCACAACAAATGACACCTTTCCCATCCAATTTTAAAACAATTATTCCACCACATAGAGAGCATGTGTTACGATTGAATAACATCGTTAATCACTCTCACGAGTAAATTTATTAACCTTCAACGAAAAAATGCGATCAGTTAAATACCATCAAGTTCACATTCCTGTTTAAAATGTGTGCAAAAACAAACAATTCGGGAAATTCGTATACCGACATTGATTTATTGAATATTTGAACTTTGCAATTAACTGCTGAAATTGGTTTGTATTTGAACATTTTTCCCAAAAAAAATGAATACTTTCAAGAATTGGTGCGTGAACTTCTGCATTTTCTCACGAAACTTCATTTGTATTGACTACTAATATTTCTACCGATTGGTGTGTGCAGTACAATTTGATTTTAATGAACTGTTATTATTGTTCCGCTTGGAATTTTATAATGAAGTAGTTCGAATTCCAGAATGTTAAAATTAATCGATATTCGATAATATGAGCGCTCTGTGAAAATATATTACTGATATTTTTTCTATTTCCCTGAATAAAAGCAACTATTGCTTTTCGCGAATTAAATAAATACATACACAGCTGGACACGAAAAGTCGGTCATATGTACGTTCGATCGAACGCCGAGCATGTTCGGATGTTGGAATGTTCGAAAAAAAAACACTATTTTTGTGTAGTTTACTTTTTTGAAACATTAAAATTAACAACATTCATTGTTAAAACATATATATTTATTTATTGGTAATGCAATCCTAAATTTATACCATTATGTTGGCTAAGTGCCCAAAAATATAAATATAACACCGAAAATACTCTCCAAAGCTTGAATCATCTTTTCAACGAATTAGAAGCAAAGTCTTATTTTATTTATCCGAAGCTAAATAAGTGCAAAAAAGAACTCTTAATCTATTAAAAATTGTGGTATTTCAATGTTTCATCTAAAAAAAGGTGTACAAAATCATAAGATAAGAGTAGATTGTTTTCAAAATCGCTACACATGTTTGCATATTAAGTGGGGCAATGCTTCTAACTGTTAGGGCCTTTGATGTTTGAGCATTTTTCATTAAAAACATATATACTTGTTGATCGCTGCGTGATAATGAAAACCAGTCTCCTTCAATGATACTATCATACACTTGAGAGTTCTAAAAGAAAAACGAAATTTCAATGGCCATTTATAAATTAAATTCAATCAAAACATTGTTGGTTTTGTATCAGTTCAAATTCATAAAAAGACAAAACGACTGGACTCATTACTGGATGAATTCAGAGGATATAATTAATGCCCTCGTATTGACCAGAACTAAATGATACAAATAGAAGCACGACGAACTGTAGCAAGTTTTGAAACCACTTACGCATATTTCGACGACAGTTCCAACAGCTGAGAAGCCAACAATTTGACCGAGGAGACTAACAGCCAGACCAATGGCAGGAAAGAATTGAATCTACTCAAGAATATTTGGGGAATTAATTTTTTCATTAAAACTGAACAGTTATTGCGATTTTAATAATCATTATCAAAGATACTGAGCATCTAAAACAAAATCACCTTCAAACAAATGAACAGTTCAATGGCGGCAGAAATTGCAGCTGAAGAAATTTGAACAAAGCAAATATTGAAGAATGCCACATCCAAAACATCAATCACACTGAAAAGACAACATTTAAGTACTGATGAAAAAAATATATTTTGAAATGTTTTTATAAAGAGCCTATGAAGAATCTATGTGATTAACGGAACTTTCATTTGATTAAAAACACACATTTATGGCTTAGCACTATGTCATCATCATTACAATCAATATTTCGTTAATCTATATTCATTGTAGATTAAATAAAATAGGATTCAACGTATACATACTCGCAAAATTCGCGGTGCATCAGCAAAATGTTTCTTAATTTAGCTTTAACGAACAACATGTTCATATCTTCTTCTCTCAACATTTCGTTGAGTTCACTTAAATTTTCGTTGAAAATGTTCGAAAGAACGGGAACATTCACGATAAGCATAATGAACATGAAATCCGTACAAGCGCTTCCAATTACTGCAAGAATAATGAACACTGTATGGATTGCACTCATTTCAATATATCCGATCGTAGTCGTCTCATCCATATAAGGAAAATACAACGGGAGCAATGAAACTATATCGCCGAGAAAATAGTACGAATACATCGGTATAACGAAATAAAAGCCACCAGCAATGCAATACAGTAGAGTTCCACCTCTCAACACCACTTCAGTGTAGAAGGAATATCTTTGTAGAAGTCGTTGACGAATACGCGATTCGCTTTTTGCATTCACTGCATATATATCAATAAATTTGTTCATAGCTTCCACCAAAATCTGGCCGTGATTTGCGGAGTACATTTTTATCATCAACTTTTTGAATGCACACAAAAAACAAAAAAATTTAATCGAATTACGACTGAATGAATTTAATGAAATTACCTCAACTGCTACTCCAAAGAAAGCAATCATTTCAAGCACTGTATGTATATCATAGTACCGTAGAGTTTTATATGCACCCACGAAAAATAAGGACACAAGAAAATATATCACATAAGTGATTGAATACGGTTTAAACTCGCCCTCCCGAAATATGTCATGACCAATAATTTTGAAGTACTGACGAAGCAAATTATGAAACATATAATGCATTTTTTGATGTGGCTCCATTTTTATTAAAGTCAAATATTTCTTTAATTTTAACACAAATTTTGCATTTGATGCTTAAAAGACACTTGATTTTGAACAGGATAGTTGATGAATAACTGAAAGTTATCGTTTACATAGTTAAGTATTTAAGCGATTTTGGATATTCGCTTGCGTGTCTGCTTGTGCACAACAAATGACACCTTTCCCATCCAATTTTAAAACAAATATTGCACCACGAGCATATGTTACAATTGAATAACATAGTTAATCACTCTCACGAGTAAATTTATCAACCTTCAACGGAAAAATGGGATCAGCTTTCATCACAAATGCATTTTATTGACTTAAGTTCCCATTCCTGTTTAAAATGTGTGCGAAAACAAACAATTAGAAAAATTCGTATACCGACATTGATTTATTGAATATTTGAACTCTGCAATTAACTGATGAAATTGGTTTGTATTTGAACATTTTTCCCAAAAAAATGAATACTTTTAAGAATTGGTGCGTGAGCTTCTGCATTTTGTCATGAAATTTCAATGGTATTGACTACTAATATTTCTACCGATTGGTGTGTGCAGTACAATTTGATTTTAATGAACTGTTATTATTGTTCCGCTTGGAATTTCATAATGAAGTAGTTTCGAATTCCAGGAAAGCTATATTGGCAATACAAAAATATAATGATAAGAACGCGATTTGATGAGCTTACCGAAAACTCCTATGTTAAAATCAATCGATATTCGATAATATAAGCACCGCTCACTCGGCTAGTAATATTTGAAAAACAAATTGAATTTTTTGATAAAATTGACATGTTTCTCATTGGTTGCTCATTGGTTGCTCATTTCTCTCATTTTGGGGCCAAATTTTACACCGATCATGAAATATTGCTAATCAAATATTCTTTATATGCTCAATCATCCAATTTTCAATTACGTTTCTATGGAATGATCTATTGCCTAGGCTATTGTGGTAAAAATGGTATACGATTGTTGCAGCTGAATTTCCCATCCATTCAATTATGAAGCAGTGTTCACCAACAGCTACCTTCGACTCCTTTTCACCAAATTTCCGACCAAATGCGAAGTCTTCAATCGCTCATCCGTATCAGCAATGTTCAACAATGTTCATTCTGTCAGATTCGATGCGAATTCTGTTTTTGGACACTTGGGCTTGTGTCGCCATTCAATGGCGGCCATTGAGTGCTTTATATAATTAATTTTTTCTTGACAACTTCTGTGCATTTTGAAAATAAACCAATACAACATTTTTTGACATTTCGAAACAACAAATATCACATTTTCGAAATAAATGTGATTTTATCCATAGGACTTGGGATTAAATGTGAATTTAATTGATTTTATCCATAGTACTTCGATATAAATGTGAATTTGATTGATTTTATCCATAGGACTTGGGAATAAAT